ACACACACACACACACACACACACACACACACACACCCCAAAAATAATGAATAAGAAAGCTAAACCCAGGGCCGGGGATATAGCTCAGTTGGTAGAGTGCTTGCCTTGCATGCCCAAAGCCCCATCCCCCCTCACCACAAAAAAAAAGAAGAAAGAAAAAAAGAAAGAAAGAAAACTAAACCCAAATATAAACAATTGAAAAGTCACAAAAGTGTTGAAAATATTACAAGAAGCAAAGTGACAGTGAAAAATTTTAGGGCATAGAAAGTTTTTCACACATTTTTCCATTTATAAAAATCATTGTTAGTTTTTTTAAACCTGCAGCATTTAAAACTATAAAGTCGATCAATTCAAAAATCACTTTGATTTAAATGCCATAATCTGCATAGTTAACCAATATATTTGATAACTGATTTATGCATGATTCTCATTAAAGTATCCCACAATATAAACTTCCTTAAAACAGAGCTAAATAATTTTACATAGAAAAATATTAAAATAAAAGAATGATATAATGACAAACACCTATTTATTTTATTAAATACAAGCCTGAAATGTGTTTAAGTAGGTATTACAGATTCAAAGAAATTACATTTCAGATTCCCAAAATGTTCTGCTGGGACTTTTTGACAAAATAAAACGATGCTTCAAAGGTTGTTTTTTTTTAATTCCTAAAAAAAAAAAAAAAAAAGGGCAAGAATTTGGGGATACAAAGTAAGTAAAATTCAAAACTTAGAAGTTTATTCAAAATGTTTTGAATCCCTAACGTGGCTGTAAACGGTTTATTTCAAACGTTCATAGCTTAAAGGAATGTGAATATCACAGTTTATATTGGTTTCTGCCTAGGAAAGCCCAGCAAAGCTACACAGTAGTTTCGTGTTTCCATAATCCAGTCCTAACATTGCCAGTGCCATCCGTACCTAGCAGGGGGCCTTCCTGCCCACTGCTTTTAACTGGTCCATTCTGAATGGCCAAGTTGAGGCCATAAGACTTCTGCTGACTTTCAAGTTCAACTACAGTTGACTTCCTTAATGCATCTTTTTTACTGCTAGTGGAAACAGGCTTTTCAAAATTCCGGCTACTTTTGGGAAGTGTGCTACAAGCATCACTACTGTCTTGTTGGGGTGGGTTGTACTGTCTCTCTCTGTAGGCTAAATAAGCTCTCCGACTTCTCGAATGTCCTTCGTTGTTGCCCGGCCGACTTTTAGGCAAGCCGTTCTGCACGCTTCCCTCCACACTGGTTGGGACATCATAGGCATACTCTCTCAGGACCGTGAGTCGGCTTGCCCGGTGTCCTTTACTCCGGTTTTTATGATGGCGGCTGGAGTGCACATTTGTCCGAAACTGCACGTCTAGAGGCGCCACGTGCATTTTGATATCATTGTCCATTGAATGTTCTGTGAGACTATTATCAAGCTGAGGTGTAGAGTTCAAAGGTAAAGAATTGGCATGGCACTGTGCTGCAGCAGCCTGCAAGTTCGTTAACTTGCAGCCCTGGGAGGAATTCTTGAAGCTTGACGCGCTTTTGTTTGTGCATGAGGACTCTGCGCTGCTATTGGTGCACTTGGGTGCCTCTCCGTTTGTCCCACTGGAGTTGGGGGGCTGGACATTGACTTGCACTGAATACGAGCTCCGTCCTGGGCAGCACGTCATGATCCATGCAAGTCTGACATCCTCCCGATTCACACAGTGGTGAACCATGATGAAGGCACTTAAGCTTAAACACGTGGCTCCAAAGAAGAAGCTAAAAACCAAGTCCAGAGGATAATACAAAGAGACCGCCAGGGCCCCGAACATCCACAGAGCGACATACAAGAGCAAAGTAAGGCTCGCCCCCAAAAGCTGAGAATGAAAAGTGTGCTCGTTTTCCAAGGCTGACGTAGAAATCAGAGACAAAGACATTGAATCCTGATGGTTTATTTCCCCATTTTCATTGGCTGCCAATCTCTGCTGCTCCTCTGGGGGCTCCTTAAGCTCATATTTGCGCTCAGGGTGTCTTTTCAACTGAATAAATATGCTTAGAAAGTACATACAGTTTACAAAAGTGATGAAGCTGGCAGGTCCGTAGAAGGCTCCCAAGGAGGGTTCCCACGCCATCCAGCAACTAGAAGAGAACAGGGCGAATCAGCTCAGAGGCTACATACTTCAGCACCAGTAAACTGTGGTGCCTAGAAGACACCAAGACGGGAGCAAGTGGGTCAGGTACTCAGAGAATGCAAAATACTCACTAGGGTGCACTTGGCCGACTGCCGTAATTCCTGATGTTGGCTGCTGCTGTTATGCCACAAACTATGATGGGAATCCCACCACCGATCAGGTAGAACCTGCAAGGAGGAAGGGACAAATGTTCCTTATTCCATATTTTTAAGTGATAACATTTTTGTTTTGCTTTGGTTTGGAATTTCTTTTTTTAAAAGCATCAATGAGGTCTAGGAAGTTTCTGAACTTAGGAAAGCTGGTCAGCTCCTGCCACCCTGTGGTCAGGCAAAGGAACACCCCAGGCAGGCTTTTGCCTTACATTTTGTTTTTAGGGGGAAGTGGTGTCTTTTAGATTCAGCTGGTGAATTAAAAATCAGTCTGTTGCAAAGCTCATTTTAAGATCTCGCTGCACCACAGTTTAAATTTTAAAAATGTGATGATGTATTGCTACTGCCTTTAACGAACACCTGCCCACTCCAGGACCTCCAACTACTGTGTATTACATCCCCTGGTCAGCTGAGGTTGGGTATCAGATCCTAGTGGCTTCACAGCGTGCAGAGACCCCTTACCCACCCTCCCTTCCTATGGAGTAGCTGGGAAAGCTAAGGATACACTAGTGCAGCAGGAATGGATGCGATAGTTGTGACTAGTCCAACAAAGGAAAACTTCTAAGGCCAGAACATCTCTGAGCTTTAGAACTTTCTATCCTGGCGGGGTACCCTGGGTACGGTCAGAATCTTAATTCTTCATTTGCCTTTTCTTGAGAAACAGCCCCCCACCCTTCCCCAAATATTGAATGGACTAGATAAAGGCAAATATTTCTGATGCATTTTTCCATAAATGGTTTCTTCATCATATACAGAAACAAAAATCCTTAAATACGGTATTAGTATTGCTGAAGAGCTTGCTAGCCACCCTACAAAACTACAACCACCCCTTCCGTGTCACAGATTAAGGAGAAGCTGACATGAGACCTTCCTCTTTTTGCCCCCTCTGCTAGCTCCCTTCTGCTTCTTATCTCAAAGAAGGTAACTTTTCCAAAATTTATCTTGACTTCTACCATCATCTCTGTGTCTTTTCCCTTGGAACTTCCTGAGTGAAGTCTTATTGTGCAGCTTTAAAATCTCCTCCTCCAGTGCCTCTGATTTTTAGCTTACACCTAAACTTCCTTGGACTTCCACTTCCTTTCTCTCTCCCCCCTTCAGTTTCAAACTCTTGGAAACAGAGACCTGCACCTGCCTTCTTGACCTTGTGGTGGGGCTGCTGTTACCCCACCATGAAGCAGCAGCAGCCCTCAGGACCAGGACAAACATGCAGGCAGCCCCTGCCCCGGACTCCATGCAGCAGCAGTGCTCAGGTTACATCCAAGGACCTGGGGGGGGGGGGGGTCCTTGCAAGTATGTTGGCAGCTTCTAAAGCAAAGTGAGCATCTGTAGGTCACTTGGGGGCTGCAGAGGGTCTAGAGCTGGGCTGCTCTTCCTTAACCCTTTGCATTTCTCAGATCATGATAAGAATGAACAGCTGCTGGAAGACAGGATTCTCAGGCCTCTTAGCCAAACACCATTTGTCAATTCCTTAACAGAAGTGGCAAAGGGGTGTGATCTCATCCACAGTGTGGGTGTGACACTACAGTAGCCTCACACCCCTGCCACCCCTGAGGCTCCCTGAGCCACCCTCCCTCAGAAACATCTCCATTTTCAGGTGTCTCCTGTCTCCAGTGATTTTCTCCATGGCCCATCTATTCAACATGGGCGTGATTCAGGGATCACTCTCGTAACTACCTTCTCCCTGGGGGGCTTTTGCATTATCATGGCATCAATGACGGCACACATGAAACTGTCTCCTGCCACAACCAGATAAGGCCTCACTGCTGAGCACAGGGTTTCCACAAATGTACAATTTTCACAAGAAAGTACTAGGAGGCCACCTCCCCTGGGCCTGCCCACCTCCCCAGGGAGCACCCCTCCCCTGGGCTTCCCGGCCCCCCACCATTTCTACTTTTCCTGCAGCAATTTCCTGGGTTGTTGCAAGCGCGTCAGGTGAGAAACCTAGGGAACTGGAGAGAACCATCTGCAGCCACTGTCAACTTTCTCATCCCACACACTCTTTGGTCACCAATCCTAGAGAAACTGCCCCCCCATCTCTCAAATATGTGACTTCTCTATTCTGTGACACTGCTGTGACTTTGGTCCTCACAGGGAAAACCACAGTGATTTCAGTCCAGGCATTTGGGGGGCATTCCAATTTATGTGCCCAGCCATCCTCAACGATACCATAGGAGGCCACTCCCTTGGTTGAAACTCTTCAGTGGATGCCCACATTTTAATATAGGCTCCAAAAGCCCCAGGGCCAGCTTCCACCCTGAATAATTCTTCCTCTGCACTGCACACCCTGAACTCCAGCCAAACTCCATGTCAGTTTTTTTCATCTTTATCCTGTATCTGGAGCGCACCTCCAGCCTCTGTCCTAAGCACAGAGCATGGTTGTGGCAATGGCCAGCATTTCCTGAAGCCCACCATCCCCCTAATTAAGAGCTCCTTTCTCTGTACTTTCAAAGACCTAATCTGTACTACAGTCCTTGCCCAGCCCACAGCCAGTTCTCCTTGGTGACTGAAACTCATCCAGGACAGGGAGGGCTGCTCTCACCCTAGCCCAGTACCAGGTCCACACCAGGCATTCAATAAGCCTTCACCAGGGGCAGATTGTCACCCATCCGGCATGATAACTAATCTATGCACAATTTCTTAAATCACAATGGGAGGGAAGGACATAACTCCAGATCTGTCTATCTTTTGGAGAGAACAATAAAACTGATTTTCTCTTGAGGAGATTAAAATCTATGACACATGACCTCAAGGAAATAAAAAGTTCACATTAGATGGGGGCCTCTGGTAGGGCCAGTTCCACATTAAATGCTCTGCACATAACTCGTTCATTTGTCACCACAGCTCTGCAAGGCAGAATCCACCTCCAAGCCCCACTAGACAGGAGCGCGAGAAGCCCAGCGAGGGTACAAATGCTGAGGGCCTTCTCAGAAGGGTGCAGAGCCACCCTCCACAGCAGGCATGAGGCCGACATGGCCACTGGTTTCCTTCCCCAAATCCACTTGTTTTTTGTTATAATTTATGACTATGTTTCAACTAAAGCAAACCAAACTCACACTTAACATTATAAAGCAAACCAAGATATCAGATACCTGAGCATCGGTCTTGGTGGAGGGGGCGGCTCATCAGGATCCTGGCACCTCTTAGCTTTCTTGGTGACTTGTTTGTAGATATTTCGAGCGGTCACTCCCACCCACAGGACTGTGGCAAGGGTGGAGTAGTGGAGAACTATCCCGACCTGCAAGGGAGATTGAAGAATGTATTTTCACAGGCTGATTAGAAAGAAGTACGAAGGCACATTCTAATGACCAACTCCTTTGCAGGCTAAAAAAAACCAATGCAACCCTAGCAGTTACAGTCCTCTAATACACACAGCAACTGTTAGATTGGGAGGCCCACACACATTGCCATGCGTGACCCTTAAGATCCTACAAAACTTGCTGCTGGACAATAAGAAACCAAAGGCGTGTTTTCCATAGATGCAGCGTTACAGAGTTCATTTTCTAATGTCCATTTTAACACAGAGCACAGAGAAAGCTATACAGCTAAGAGACCTGAATTCTGATTCACAGTGTCCACGTATGGGCACATCACAACACACTGGCAGGTTAGAGGGCCAACCTGAGTACAAAATTCCGCGTGGGTTTCAAACTGTGTCCACCTCTTACCTGCTATGTGACCTAAGCAAAGTCACCATCTTTCTCACCTGAGAGCTAAGAATTCTATGAAAGTGCTGTGGGGAGAAATGAGGCTTTCAGCACATGATAAGCCCAGGGTCAGTAAAAATCCCTGCATTGTTTATTATGAGTGTAGTGTCCAGGAAATAATGTGAACTCTCTGAAGTTAAGTTCCCTCAATGTGATGGTGGGAACATTATCAATAGACGGCTCTAGGGTTTTGTAGAGATTGAATGGCCATAATACCTGGGATATACTAGGTTTGTTAAAAAAATAAAAAGACAGCTGCAGGTATATAATGATGGTGCCAATCAAGTTTCCTCCCTGATTGATGACAGGGGCATCCTTGTCACAGGACATCTGTGTAAAGCAACATTGGCTGAGGATGAAATTCTAGATGAAGATACAAGAGGAGATGAGACTTTAAAAGTGTTTTTTAAGAAAAGTTAAGTGCCATGTGTCACTGAAACACCAAGGACACAATCCAGTTTCCTTTCCCAAGATTTGCTATCTTTTGGGTCATTTTTCTTACATATCATCACAGGTAACATTCTAGCAATGAAAATCTCCAAGAAAAAAAATTTCTAATTCTAAAACGAAAAGCTCTCCAATCTCAAGAAAATCCAATCGATTGACATCATCAGACCCAGGTCAATAACAAAAGATGAGCAGCACAGTCCAGAGCTTAACCAGAACCAATGCATGGCTAAAACCCGGGGACGTGAACGTCTAGGTCTTATTTTGGAGAGGGAAAAAACAGGGTGGACATTGCAATGACTCTGGAATTATCAGGAGGGTGGGTCCAGCTTGGCCAAACCAGAAAAAACCTACAGTTTTCTTCTCCTAAAGGAGAACAGTGGCTCCTTGGCTCCTGTTAGTTATGCTGACTGTACGGTGCTAAGTAAAATTTTTAGACAGAAGTGGAACAAATAGCAAAAAATAACCCTTGGAGATATCTGAAGTCACTCACACCACACACTGTAAGTAAAAATAGTGTAAATGACCCTGAAGCACAGAAACCAATAAATTTGAGACAAATCACCAATTTTAACTCAAAATGGTAGATTCTTCTATTGCTGGAGTTTTCTGACACATGGGTCAAAAAAAATGAGATAGAACTTTAAATTACATAAGTTTAAAATATTTTCTACATAGACATTACAAGATGAGGGATTTTCTAAGGGGAAAAACTTAATCTTCAGGTTCTGAAGTCTTCTATTTGGCATTTCTACATTCCCAGAGAAGTGTTTGCCCTTAAAAATACTGAGACCCTCCAGTTAAATCCACCTGCTAACAGTCAGGTAAGCAAATCACTAAATATTCCACAAAAACCTAAAAGTGGAGGAATGAAGATCTGGCAGATGGGGTTTCCTGTTGAAATGTGGTACCTCCTAATGCCTTTTCCACCCAACCCTTGGGCTATCCATGAAATACCATCTCAGTGTCACATTTTCTAAATAAATCAGAGATCCATGTAGAAATCTGTAAATAGTAAATAAGTGATGTATTCCACAGGGCATGTAAACTACTAATTAAATGCAAATGATTGATACTTAAGAAAGCCACCTGATCTTAGGACAATGATTTCCAAAGGTAAAACAATAGGAAAAAATAATTACCCTAAAATGTTCCTCTTAATATGTGTGTTACCTAACTATAAGCTCACACATACTGGAGAGTTTTTAATTGTCAGTAACCTAACACCGTGTAGCATAAATAGCAACTATACTACTGCATGACCTTTAGGAAAAGTATACAAACATTAATACGTTTTCAGTTTTCAATAGTGAATGACTGTTTTATGTTCAAAATTGTGTATCTGTGTGTGCTCTTACTTTATCCTCCTAGCATCACTATTTGGATCATTAACCTTGAGCTACAGACACAGGGACTGGAGCTAAGAGAAGTGACATCTACCTGGCAGCTTGGCCAGGAGCAGGGCTATTCAAACAAATCTGTTGATTCCAATACCTCTGCCCTTAGGAAAGCACATAGATGGGGGTGAAGGGTATTCAGAGTCAAACAGACCAGCATTTGAATCATGCCTTTGTCATGGTTTGGGGTCAGACTCTGCCTATATATATTTAGGGGCTATATGAAGAAAAAGTACCTCCTGGGGTTAATATAAAAGTTAACATACTCACAGTCAATGGCAAGTTGACAGTGTACTTCCTGATTAGATTTTCACCTCTAGTACCACTGCAGCAATTCTCTATAAACCTAGACAGGAGGAACACCTGAGGAGGGCAGCTGGCAGGCACCATATCTAATAGACTGAATGGCTGGACTGGTAAAGCAACATGGTAAATTAAAAAGGACCCAGCCGAATCCTTTTCCTGCATAGTTAAGAAAACCATGGGCCAGAAAATGGATGATCAAACAACTATTTGGTGGCATGGAATAGCATCAACTGGAGCACAGCTCCTTCCCACCCTGAGTCAGTGGCCCCTGTACTCTATCACTCAGTCACTTGGTTTTCCTGCAGCTCCTTTTGCAAAAGAGAGTTAAAAGCCTTAGACAGCTCCTGGGACTGACTGGGAACCAACCTGAGTAGGAAGTGTCTGGCTGGTGACACCTTTAAGAGCCTCAACCAATCTCTGTGGGGGAGAAACTGTCTCAGAGCCCATCACCTGTGTATAAATACATGGGGGCTAACAGGGACAAAATGAAGACAAAACTACACACACCAAGTATGTACACAAAACTGCATCTAAAAACATGTACATGCCAGGGGTCAGTTTCACAGGTGGAAGAACCTTGCTGAGCATGTAGTATAGCCAGTCCCACTTGCCATCTTTTGGATCATTTTTTTCTTACACATGAAGCCCCAAGTAGGTTGAGCGACTGCAGTAAGTACGGTAAGTACGTGCTGTTCAGACCAGGATCTGCACCTAGTGCCTGACATCTGTCCATTCTGCACTCCACCCCTCCTCTTGGCTTTCTATAAACAGAATTGAGGATTACAAAGTGAATCAAGTTACGCCTGAGTCAGAAATGCAAGAATGATGTTATGTCTTTCAAAAAAAAAGGGGAGAGGACACTGTAGACACAGAAAATGACAAGTGGAAGCAGCTAGAGACTTGCCTTTCCTTTCTTCTGTGAATCTTTAATGGATGGGCATTTGTTCTAAAGGCCTTAAGACAGCCATGCAATTCCTATCCCTTTCACTTTAGAAGTGGTATAAAACACCATTCAGCACAATGAAAGGCAATCATCTCTACAATGGCCTCTTTGTATTCATTCCTTAATGAAATAAATTAATGTGTCTGTTTCAGGAAATCAATGAATACTTGTAGATAAAATTGAGACCATTAATACCAATGTGTGCTGAGTACTTTCCAAACACAGCCTGTGCACACAATGGCTTCGAGTTTGAATGCTTTCCATAATCTGCAAACACGGGCTTCTTTTGGTTCACCAATAAATATTTGCTGATCACCTACTATGGGTCAGGTCCTGTGCAGATCCCTGGATAAATATGGGTGAATCAAACTGGTATAGTTCTTGCCTTGATAGAGCTCAGAGTCCAGAAACGGCTTGGAGAGCAGGAATGGTAGAGGTAGGAGCCATGGGGATTTTAGTAAACACCCTAACATGGGAGGTGAGGAATGATAGCTCTGAAATAGTAACAGTAAACTGAGACCTTCAAGGTAGCTGAGAAACAAGATGTAAAGAAGGGGGATACTGAGAACACTGGAGGTCTGTCTTTTACCCAGGTATTAAGTGATCCAAGACCCATTATTCTGACTTCTCTTAGGCTGAAAACAAAAGTTTGCTTTCAAGCATAGAGTAATGGTGTGAAAGAGAGAAATGCATTGCAGAGCTGGAAGTACCAGCATTAATACTACTAGTACCAGTGAACATTCAGTGAACACTGGCTGTGTGCCGCTTCTATAAAGATGAATCATTTAATCCTCAAATCACTTAATCCTCATAACAATTCTTACATATTTATTAAATCAGATCTCTGGTGTACAATTTTGGATTAATCAGGAGCCTTAGGTTCATGACACTTCTAACGACTGGGCCAAACAAGACCTTGACCTGCCTTGACTCAGTTTTTTTTTTTTAACTTAGTTATTATTAATAATATAATAGGCACCCAATAATCTACCACCAGCAAGACAAACATTAGGAGGTTGAGGATAACCTCTGATGCTAGCCACAGGACCCCTCCATTCAGGATAACCATCGTCCTAAATCCTATTCTCTTGCTCATTTTAAATATAGTTTTGTTGCACCAACCTACTTTTGTTAAAAATACACTGTTTAAGTGTTTGTGTTTTTGTATAAAAAGATTACTGAGTAAATGTAACTTTTCTGACTTGCTTTTTTGCACCTAAGACTTGTGGGCATTGTTCTGCATCATTATAACTCATTCATTTTGATTCTTGTATAATTTATTTTTTGATTCTTGTGGAATTTATTTATTCATTTCCTCTGTGGGGGGAAATCTGGGTTGCTTCCAGGTTGCTGCTATTGTATATAGTGCTGCTATGAATATTCATACCCATGTGCACATTCATATTGCACACAAACAAGGTAACTCTCTGGGCCCAGGAGTTGATATTGCTGGGATCCAGGGTATGCGAGTTTTCTGCTTTAGAAGGAAAAGCATCCCAGGGCACATCACTAACATTTCCACAAACAGTGTATACAAGATCCTGAAGACAAACCTGACACTTAAAGCTGTAGGCTTCATTTCTGCCATCAGAAAAAAGGCATAAGATGGTAACTGTTTTCATTTGCATCTTCACAAACTCCAAATATGTGGAACATCTCTGTACATGCAGTCTCTTGTGTGTACTAGTCTAAGAAATGCCTGTCCATTTTCCTGCTGCTGCTTCTGCTGTGCATTTTGGTCTTCTCATGGAAAATAATTCTTTTGTGGTATGAGACAGAGGTACCAGGGAATGAACCCAGGGGCACTTAACCACTAAGCCCCATCTCTAGTCTTTTTTTTTTTTTTTTTTTTTTGAGACAGGGTCTCACTAAGTTGCTCAGGGTGGCTATAAACCTGTGATCCTCCTGCCTCAGCCTCCTGAGTCTCTGGGGTTACAGACACACACCACCATGCCCAGCAATGATTCTTACATATTTTTATTCTAATGCTCTGTCGGTTCTATGTATTGTAATAGCCTCTTCTTATGTGCAATCTGTCTTTTCACTTTAAGTTCTTTTACTAGACAAAAGCTATCTTTAGTAAAATTCACCCGTCTTCTAGTAAATGCCTTTTATAGTCATATTTAAGAAACCCTTCCTTATCCCAGGGTCTGTGGCATTTTCTAATAAGAATTTTAACATTTTGGTTTAGATTTTTAAGTTTTCAATCAACTCAGAGTTGACTTTTTTGTTGGTGGTGGTTTAATTTATCACTGGATGACATTCAGCAATACTAACATTCCCCCGTGGGTCTGTGGCCCCCAGCAAGTCTGACCTGTCCAATAAACTGCAGCACAGAAAGGGCTGGCTACACACACACACACACTTTCACTATAGTGATTCCAAATTGCACTCGCAACAGTCCTACCTACTAGGGAAGAAGTGCAGAGCAACTTTTAAAATATGGCATAAGATACAGACTCTTTAATCCTTTTCCTTAAAGATGGACTGCCCCCAGCTCCACTTACTCACCTCCGTCATATACTAGGTTGCTATTCTACTGTGTTGGTGAGTTTATCCACTTCTACAGCTAATGTCACTCACCCTAATCACCATAGCCTCACAAGCCCCAATGACTAGTGAGACAGTATTGTGTCTCAGTTTCTTCTCTGTCCATTTATTTGCACAATAACTGAAGAGTCGCCAAGTTTCATGAAAAATTCTCTTCTTATCTATAGATTAATTTAGGAGCATCTACAACCATTCTGGTGTTGAGTCTTCACATCCTTGGATCTAATATTTCCTTCCATCTGAGTAGGTCTTCTTTAACACGTATTTTATTTGTAAATCTTAAACTCTTTTATTATTTTTATGTGCATCATAGTCATTGATATTATATAAATAGGAACTCATTCATGTGCATTTTTCATAGTTGCATTTTTATATACAAACTACAAACTTTTATATCTGAAACTTTCCTATTCTAATTTATGTGTAAATGTTTTTTTTTAATATAAAGAATTACATCATCCAACAACATTCTCAATTTACAGGTGAGAAAACTGACACACCTACGGATAAAATACTGAAATCAGGTCCTTAAAGAGATATCTAGACTTCATCTGTTTACTGCAGTATTATTTACAATAGCCAAGAAGACGAAACTATCTACTCACAATGAATACACAAAGACAATAAAAAGTGAAATTTTATCATATTCTACAATGCAGATAAACCTTGAAAACATTATTTTAAATGAAACAAGCCAGTCACAGATGGATACATGTTGCCTAATTCCACTTACATGAGAGCCTAACGTAGCCAAACTCATAGAAGTAGAGAGTAGGATGGCAAGCTACTAGGGACAAGAAAGTGAGGCTGCATCCAATGAGTATAAAGTTGACACACAGCCATACAAAATAAAAAGTTGTAGAGATCCATGTACAATACTGTGCTTATAATTAACAGTAGTGTTCACGTAAGTATTAAGAGGATAAATCTTTCATGGTTTGCCCATTTGAAAAGAAAAAGGTTAAATAAATTGGTCATATAATTGGTCATAAAAACACAGCCAGTAATTGGTAGAACTGAGATACAGATATAGGCAGTATGAACTCAAAATCATTATGTTATACTTCTTGCTATCATGTATGTGAAAGACCATACTTAAATATGAAAATAAAATTTCACTTATTTCCTCTTCTTACATTGAGGAGTTTCAATCTATTATATTCACACTGTAAGAATACTGTTATATATAAGGCTACATATGTAACAAATTACTTGAAAACAGAAATTAAATATTTAATTCTTTATATCTACCAAACTTAATGTTTCTTACTTGTACCAAATTCCTATTGTTTTCATTAATGGATGAAATAATTTTAAAACTCCTAATGTCAGAAAATATCACTTTTCTTTCCATCAAAGTCAGGACTTTGTGAATATTTAAATTAACGGTTAGGTGTTGTCACAGGCTTGACAAGCAACACTCAATCCCCAAGGGTAAGGAGACAAGCAGTGCAGTCAGGTATTTGGTTGTGAAATGATTCAAAACCTGACATGTCCTGGTGAACTGTCTGAGGGACAGGTTTACCTCTAATTAGTTAAAGAAAAGGCTTCAAAGAAACGTGTTTCTTCTCACTTAATGAAACATGAAATTATTTTCTAAGAACAGCATTTTTTCTGTCTCAGTGTTTCACTCTGACTTACTGCTTGGCAGACGCTGGCATTTCTGGTTTGGGTTATTCCTCCCACGAAGACCACACAGGTCAGAAAGATATGAAAGCACAAGTTCACGAGCATGTGCCAGCTCTTGAGGCTGATCCTGATCAAACTGTTTCAAAAAAGGTAAGATATTAACATTCAGCCTGACACAGTCAAGTAGGGCAGCATAATGTTCATCTGTAAGTTAATTCCAATTGTAAAGCTCAAACTTACATGTATTATGTTTAAGCATTTAATAAATCAAACATACTGTCATACACATACACACAGAGGATCTAAGAAATCATTTAACTGGATAGTTTAACACTTAACTTTATGCATTAAAAAACAAATCCATTTATGCAAACACTGCACCCATTAAAAGCTAAGCGATTCTGCCCAGTAAGAAACATGAGCATTCGCTACTTATGGTGTCTTAAGCTGACTGGATTACCTGGTTGGCTCCCTAGAGATTTCTGCAGTGTGCCAGTGAGTCTTCTTCCTGACCTACTAGGATAAATGCATGGCCCACTGCGTTTCTTCCTGGCCTTTCATAATGAAATGTTGGAGTCTTTCTTTCTTTTCCCCACATCAAAATCTCCTTTTGTTTCTTAACTAAATGTCAAGAAATGCCATATATGTCCAGCTTAAATAGGAAAATATGTTCCAGCAAAACCTTTTGTAAAGTGAATTTTTAGCTTCACAAATCCTTTTAGTTCATTATTTCAGCCATAAAATAGAAGTTTCTGTAGCTTTCTCTCCAATTAACAAAACTGTATCCCATGTTTAAATGCCACAAACTTTCCTAAAAATGCCACCTATTTAAAAAAAAAAAAAGTCACAACAGGCAAAAAGCCATCAAATACAAGTGGTGACTGACAGAATCCACCACCTAAAGATACATGTACAGGTACCTCTATAGGTAACCGCACCCACCCCAGGCTCCAACACATACCCCCATGTCCTTTTCTAGACACAAGCACAGCAAACTGACTGGATGCTATGAAGGTGAACTTACCATTCCATGACTCATTCTTCATGTCTTCAATGGCATGAAATGAAAAAGGCCCCCATGAATTCTACAGTAAGCATCGGGACTTGGGAAGGACCACATGGTGTGCAAATTAAGCAGAAACAAGTCCTCCAAAGCAAAGTCCACGGATCAAAATAGGTAAGAGCATCTCTTACCTATGATGGTGCACGTAGCTGACCATGACGGCCAAGAGACACAAGAGGAGGATGATGGCAGTGGTGTAAACCACAGGATGCAAGAGACTGGCTGCCTGGGTGTACAGCTCGGATCCTGTCAAGTCCTGAGGGGAAAAGCAGAGAATCATGCGAGTGGCTCTTTCATGGACATTTAACCATGGGGACTTTCCCGAGGGACTGAGAAAGTTCAACATACACTTTGGCCCGTGCATCTCTGTGGTATGCAAGGCCTGATGTCTCCTGCTACCATCTTCACACGTGTCTGCCTTCCCCAGTTCCACTGTGAGCTACCTGTGGCATACACCTGTCTGACCCAGGCCGTCTACCTCTTCAGTGTGAACTCTGCTCCGCCACGAGGGTAATGGACAGAGAAGTGCAGCTCACATGCAGGTGACTCAGAAGGGTAACCAGACTTCACTCTCTTTAATGCCCACTCAGCCACCTGCCACTCTGCAGATTCACAAGCTGAGAAAGCACAACAAAGACCAGCCTTCACAGTCAGCAAAGCCCAAATTATCGCTGTAACTACTGGAAGTCAAGTCAACCTCATGACCCACAATACGAGGAGACTCGACGTGGTGAAAGGGACTACAGACAAGACGGAAAGACGTGGTTCCTGCCCCTGCAGAGCTCAAAGTCACAGGGGAGACAGACAGACAATCAGATCCTGACAGTGTGTGATGGAGATGTAAGTACAGTTATAGGAGCAGAGAAGAGTCCTGTAAGAGGTCCCCCCAAAAAAGGTAACAGTGAGTCACTTACACAGTGTTTACCATAATCCAGACGCTGACTATGTCCATCACTCTACAGAGTAACCTTATGGGGTAGGTTTATCATTAGTCCCATTTTATACCTTGGAAAGCTGAGGCCCAAAGAAGATAAGTGTCAAGAGTATTAGATCCAAAGGAAGATGACTGCCAGTTCTATCCCCAAACCCAATGCTGACATTGACTTGCTAAAATGAAAATGACAAGATGCCTTAATGCTGCCTTCCTTACTGGGAAGATATCCCCGCTCTGGCTGTGTGCTATGGTTTGGGTTTGGAATGTCCCTGAAAAAACCTCATGTGTTGAAAGCCCAGCCCCCAAGCTGACAAGATTCAGAGGTGGGGCTTTTAGGAAATGACTAAATCAGGAGGATTATACTCTCATCAGTGGATTAATCCATTTGATAGATTAATAATTCGAATGGACTATTCAGGGGTAAGCGTAGACAGGTGGTATGTGGTTGGAGGAAGCAGGTCACTGTGGATGTACCCTGGACCATATCTGCCCCTGGTCCCTTCCTGCCTCTCCCTGTTTCCCAGCTACCAAATACTGAGCGGGTTTTCCTCCACCACGCCCTTCCACCATGATGTTCTGCCTTACCTCAGGCTCAGATCAATGGAGCCAGCCAACCATGGACCCACAGCTCCAAAGCTCTGAAACTGTGAGGCAAACCAGCCTTTTCCTCCTCTAAGTTGTTCTTGTCAGATATTTTGGTCACGGTGATAAAAACCTGACTACTGCCCAGTGGGAAAACTGGGTTACAGAAGTGAAAGCTACAGATTCCACAAACCCCTTCACTCCACTCTCCTGCACTGACTCCTAGAGCTAACAATCACGGCTGGATGTGGGGAGAGGTTCCTAAAGATGTATCTGCAGTGAAGAAGCACTTGACATGATATCTAAGAAAAGCTAGATGAAAAGGAAGGGAACAGGGGAAGGAGCCACCAACAGAGTCGGGAGAGAATGGATGAATTTCCCAGGGAAGAAACGGAGCTGATGATACAAAATTATACATGGACAAAGACCCTATCGGAACACCCTAACAAACCCCTCACTGAAACAAAAGATGAAGAGTTGATGACAAAACACTGACAGAAATCCCAGTTCATGGGCAACCAGAACACAGGAAATGAAATTCCAACCTGTGTGTGTTCCTACACCCTAAAAAGTCTCAGCTGCAACCTACTTATTCACTCAACTCAGTGAGCACCTACCATGCCAGCCACCGTGACACGCAGAGGCAAAACAGTCTCAGAGGACTGACAGTGTGGACGAAGAACACAAAAGAAAAAACACCAGAGAAAGCCTATCACAAACAATTCCAAACCGCCTGCCCTGGGAGGCACCCACAGTATCTGTCCGCACATGTGGCCTCAAAGCACTCACAATCTGTTAACAGTCAGAATATAAAGAGTAGGAAGATTTTTTTTAGAGTTGGGACAATAAAAACCAGTTAGATGCTATTAAGAGTAGACATGTTTCCCCTCAATTTCTCTGAAAAACTACCATGCCATTGTAGAATAATTGAGGATAAACTTGCAATATCTAGGATTTAGCCTACAGACTCGTTTCACGCTCTGCCTGCTTTAGATTTCTGGAGGAAATGTTCAACAACACACTGCCACTGGATACCTATAGGATCTGGGGACATTGCTTCATTGTAAAATGCAGACATGCAAAATGCAGACACGCCAATCATCTTGGAGGGCCTGGGAGAGGGCAGAAGGAGGGCATGTAAAGATGCCTTCCACAGTCTTTGGTAGAGGGTAACAAAACATGAGAGGAAGATATTAGCTAATAAACAGGAGACAGTGTTGATTTAATTCCCAAGATTCACTGCATACACTACTCAAGTTTAAGAGACTCAAGTTTGGCATTTTTCAAAAGCTAAATGCATGTGACATACAAAGAGAAAGAGACTGGATTTTAAAACAGAATGCAAAAATGCTTAAAATACCAAGGAAAAACTAAAGGAAGGCAGAAGTAAGCACCTCTGTGCTGGGTCACAGAAGACACTGCTCCCATGGGCACATTTTGAGCTGCCTAAATGCAAAGAGAGCACCTGCCAAAACAGACCTAAGGAGACAAAATATGAAGGGCCAGATATTTTAGGCTTTGCACACCAAGGGGCAAATTGAAGCTATCACACAGACACTCATTAACTATTCACAATGTAACTAACTATGAGAACACCAAAACTTAACAGACACTACTCAAAAGTAAGAAATACAAATGGCCAACAAATACATGAAAAAATGTTCAACATCATTAGCCATTAGGAAAATGTAAATCAAGACTATACCAAGATTTCATCTCATATCAATCAGAATGACAGTCATCAAGAATACAAATAATAATTCTTGAGAGAATATGGAGAAAAAAAGAACACATTTTATACTGTCCACGGGGCTGTAAATTAGTACAACCACTACGGAAATCAGTATGGAGGTTCCTCAAAAGACTAGGTATAGAACCACCAGATGATTCAGCTATCTCTCTTTCTCAGTATTTATCCTGAAGAATTAAAGTCATCTTACTACTGTAATGCATACATATCCATGTTTCTAGCAGTACAAATCACAATAGCCAAACTATGGAGCCAGTTTAGGAATCCATCAATGAATTAATGGTTAAAGAAAATATATACACAATGGAGTTTATTCAGCAATTAAAAAAAATATATGGCATTTGTAGGGAAATGGATGGAACTAGAGGCCATTATGTTAAGCAAAATGAAGTCAAACTCAGAAGATTATGAGTTGTATGTTTGCTCTCATATGCAGAAACCAGAGAGGATAAATGGAAAACAAAGGTGGGGATCTCCTAAAAATCCAAAGGAGGTCATTAAAGGAGAGGGACTAAAGCGGGGAAGTAGGGGAGGGAGTGGGGAAGTACTGGAGAATGATATTGGTCAAATTATACTGTTATACTGTATGCACATACGAATACAAAACAACAAACACCATCATTATGTACAAGTGTAATGCACCAATAAAGAGAAAGGATGGAGGGTGGGGAGAAAAACTTAAGAACCAATCTTTGCTTTTCAGCCTTAAAGAGAAAGGGAATAAAAGAAAAAAGTGTACACACACACACACACACACACACACACACACACACACACAGAACCTGGCTGGATTGAACAATAGGACAAAATATAAGACTCCTTCAGACAGCTGAGGAAATTAGGAAATTGTGATATCAAACAAGTTAGAGATCTACAGGGAGAGATAAAGCAGAAATCTGAGTCAAATTATTTTTAATTATAGTAATAAAAAACATAGGTTTCATAATAATCATAAAAAATTACTAAATACACTATTTTAAAATGACACCAAGAGAATATTAGAAGAAAAGTAAAACCATAGTTTGCACTGGCAACATGGCAATTAGTGAGACAAAAGTCCCTGCCCCAAATGCTCACGTGAAGGCAGCCTGTGACTATCAGTGGTCTTGGTCACACTTCTATAGGGTACAAAATTAAAGGAGAAAATAAGCAGGAAGTGAAAACAAACAATGCACACAGAAGTTAACTTTATCGATGCAGAGAAAACCAAAATGGCCTCGAGTGTGGGAAGTCACAAAGACCAGAATTACTAAGGCCCCAAAAGAAGGGAAGGAGAGTACATGACAGACAGAGCAGTGAGTGGTCCTTACAAGAGGTCCTTCAAGCCCAAGGACTGCTAAATATAAAACTGATGGAAGTATTTAATAATTCATTATCATCATACCAATAACAAGAATAATTAAAATCAGGAATTAAATTTGCCAGGGTCGAACAAGAGGGTGCAATCCAAAGAAAACATCTCAAGGCACCTCAGTGTGTTAGAAACAGCAACCTATAACGAGACCTGAACAACACGATTAAATAAAAAGTAGATCTAAAATCAGAAGTATTAAGAAGATCAAAACACAAAACAGACCATGACTTGTATGCTTCTCTTTCATTTCCTTTTCAAGAACAAAGAATAATTTTCAGATTGTTTTCCTCCTTGCCTCATACAACACACAAAATCAGTTGCAATACAACAATAGATCTAAATGTGAAAGGTTAAATACCCCAGAACTCCTTGAAGAAAACAAGGACTGTGGGACAGGCTAAGATTTCTTAATTGGGACATTAAAAAAAAAAAAACAACCTACTACTACTACTACTACTACAAAACAAAACAAAACAAAAAACCCAAACTAAGAAATTAGACTTCAGAAAAATTAAAAAACTGTTCATTAAAAGACTATTAAGAAAGAGAGGGCATGTCTGCAATGCTTAATCCAGCAGAGGAGATCTTACACTTAGAACTCACATCAAGAATTCCTCCAAAACTCCAATTAAAAGTCAGCAAGCCTTTGCAGAAGCTTCACCAAGAAGGAAACCTCTCCAGTCACCAGAGATACAAATCAGAGTTACAATGACATCACCACCACCAAAAAACACTGAAATTAAAGACAATACCAAGAATCTGTGAAAAGGTAGAGCAATTGCAACATTCATGGCTGCCACTGGTATAAACCAACAGGACCACTCAGTCCTACTGCCATCAGGTGGCACTAGCTACTAAAGCCGAACACATGGAGAGTCATTCCACTTCACTAAAAGACATGTATGTGAATAATCAGGGAATGTGATATGTATGTGATAACCAAATGTTCACTGGCAATAAAATGGAAAAACTGGTATATTCATTCAATGAACTACTACCTAGCAATGGAAGAGAATAAACTGCTACTACATGCAAAGACAAAGATAAATCCCACTGTTGTAATAAGACAAACAGAGGACAAGCTGTAGCTCCAATTATATGAAGGATAAGAACATGGAATGTATTTGCTTGTAAGTTTTAGCCAGACACCAGAGGGTAGGCATCTCTTGAGATGATGGTAGGAACTGAATGGAAAGAGACACAGGGCCTACTGAGTGCTGAGGTACAAACCTTGATGCCGGTGGTGGCTAAATGTGTGCATTGCATGTAAATCTGTCACTAATCCATACACTTAAGATCAGTGTGCTTTATTCAATTTGGAAAAAAAAGCAAAAGGAATAAAGAGTTGGCCCCTTCAATGATTAATTTCACTGTGGAGAGATTTATCCTGCAGATATCCTATTAAATATGTAAAATGGTATCACACAAGCAAACACAGAGAAATATCTGAAGTAAATTATGGGACAAATTGGGCTGGGGATGTGGCTCAAGCCGTAGCACGCTCACCTGGCATGCGCGGGGCGCTGGGTTCGATCTTCAACACCACATAAAAATAAAAATTAAAAATAAAGATATTGTGTCCACCTAAAAAAAAAGCTATAAAATAATGTTTAAAAAATTATGGGACAAATTAATATTCAGAGGTAAAAAAAATGAGGAAACTCTTTTATAGTGACCTGAGATTTGAGAAATGACATGTAGCAAAGGGTTTAGAAACACAGATTCTGGAACCAGAAGGAGTTCAATGCTTATTTTAACACAAACTAGCTTTGCAGACATGCAAAGGGGTATAAACTAATAGGACCATTTGGTTACCCTACTTTCTGTTCAGTATTTTTTCTTAACCTCTCGGTGCCTCAGTTTACACACTTGCAAACTGTGGTAATTACTACATAGGATTCACTGCAGTGAATGCCATTCTTGAAGAAGTTGTTTTGAGGACCAAATAAATTAATGCATACAAAGATATCACCTGATACGTTAAGTGGTTAATGAAGATGAACTACCACCTCCATTATCAACCTTTAGATAAACTTATGATATATAGTTCTGCCAGGCGCAGTGGTACATGCCTGTAATCTCAGTGGCTTGAGAGGCTGAGGCAGGAGGATTGAAACTTCAAGGTCAGCCTCAGCAACTTAGCAATGCCCAGAGCAACTTAGTGGACCCTATCTCAAAATAAAAAACAAAAAAGAATGGAGATGTAGTTCAGTGGTAAAGCACCCTTGGGTTAAAATATCCACTACAAAAAAAAAAGATATATAGCTCCATGGAAAAAAGTGTATACAGCAGAGCACTATTATTACAAAATTTTCACTGAAGAATAATGTAGGTAGCATGCATCTTTTGGGAGAAAATGGGAGCTCCATGGTACTTCATGGTTCTGGGCTTGCCAAGCATGTGTATGACTGTAGGCTAAATCTCCCACACTAAACAATTTAAACAAAAACATTACCTATGGTTGATTATAGAGTAAATGAAATAGAAGTTTGCTTTTGTTCAGCATGTTTCATATAAACAAACTAAAAGCATCATAAGACAGAGGAAAATGAATGACTACTCTCAAGTTGGTTGTATCTGGCTGAACAGTAACAAGAGGTAAACCAAGACACAGGGATTATTGTATCTTCACTGCTATTATTGGTCAGGGTGTTAAGTCCTACACAGCTTGACTGCAATCATTACCCTACTTTCTGTTCAGCATTTCTTTTCCTGACTGATCCCAGAGCCTGTGGATCTTCTTGCTCAGAAAGGTAACTTCTGATCACATCAGTCAAACAACCCCAGTTTCCACTTAACTTCTTCCTTTGGCTCTCACTGAGAGGAGCTATCTTGACTATCTGTGTCTATTCTAGATTTATGAGCAACATATTCCTTATATCTGATTTTCTTGCTCTCAGATCATGTCAGGAAAAGTCATATGGACTATCTCCCAAGATAGGGATTTAGACTTCTACATAAAAAGATATATTTAAGATAGTATTCAAGAAATACAGAATTTTATTATTTAAAAAGTTTAGAAGAAAAAAAGATTATTTCCTACTTTTTAAGTAATTATTTTTTCAAATAACTTTAATTACTTTAGAGGGGTTATAATTTCACTAACTTTGCCTCCATATTTAACTAGCACCTCTAAAATTCCCATACACTCACTAACTTTATTATAACTTTGTCAACAATTTCAGATGCACTTCACTTTTCTGCCGCTAGGTGGCACAGTTACCTCTAAGAAAAGGAAGAGGATATTTGAAAATAAATAGAAAAAATCTTAGTACTGTATTTTAGCTTTAAATAATTGTCTTACATTTTAAAAGATTAAAAGTCTGAAAGATAAAAGAATAGCTTATTCCTTCTAGAAAAGGATTATATTAATTTAAATAATTGAGAAGAACAGCTAGGAAGTTCAAAAATAGATGCTTTAAACTGGTATTAGATTAAATAAAAATAAAAGTTTCACAAGTGCAGTAGCAAAGTGAAGCTTAGAAAATGTCCATTTTTTAAAAAATTTTGTATTTCATTTATTTTGCTCAGTTCTTCCTGGTTAACATATACATTTAAGACAAAGTTGTTTCTCCTTCAGTATATCAGAGTTTCAGATTATCTTATACTCTAAACCTGAACTAGAAAGCACTTAAACTGAAAAACTATCTCACCCTTTAACTGATGCTTCATGCTTTAACTTAAAAGGTGCCTACAAAATAATAAAATGTGAACTTACAGAAGCCAGACTTGGTGCAATCAGACATCTTGCACTTGTGAAGAGAATCAGGAACTATCAACACTCACTTTAAGCCCAAGAGGAAGAACCCCTCAAGCAGATCCAGCTGCATCTAACTATGCAGACTCCAGCCACTGCCAACTGGGCACAAGAACGTACACGCTCAAGTACAGTTGTACAAACTCCTCACTGATTGAAAAGATAATCTATCTATTATTCACTTATGCTTGGCTGGTGTGCTAGACAAGGGAGAGGAAGTTGAGAAGCAAAGAAAATGAAAAAGTATTAAGCAAATTTTAATATAATCCAGGCTGGCTTTAAGATCATTTCTAGTAGAAAATCCTATTTTGTTATTTTTAAAAAACAAAAAACTCAGAAAACATCACATTTCAAGATTATGGAGTACTGATAAAATACTCTCTAGATTCCAGATTCACAGTTGAAATTAGATAAATATGTGGAAGTCCTCATCCCCTAGGCTAACTTCAAGCCATTTCTGAGAAATGTCTTTCAGACTTGTCAATAATTCCTTCCATTGAACTCTCAACACACTCCATGATGTTAGCATCATAAAATAATTACAGCATAAAATAACAACTAGCATGGTTAATTTCATAATTATCTGCTCAGGAATCAGATCCAAATATCTCATTATTAAAAATACCTTCTCCTGTACACTAATATGTTACTTTAACCAAAAAGATTAATAGTTGTTAACTTCAGTAAATAATAGCAAACAACATTAGATTGATTGGCATTAAAACTGAAAAGACACTATGTCAATACTGTCGCTTGTAGGTGCAAAACTCAAAGTATCACCATTCTGAATTCAAAAGGAGTTTAATGATGACTGTGTGTAGTGGCATTAGAGAGGCAAAGCAGGAAGCCTTTCTTTCACTGTGTGCATCCTATCCTTGGGCAGAGAAATCATTTTGGTTGACAGAGCTGGACTGCCTACACCCAGGATCTCTCTGGGTTTTGAGAAGGTCAAAGTCTAGCTGAACTCATGAAGTTCACTGGAAATTCCAAAGACTATTCCCTTACCTTTCATTTGGCAGTAACTGCATTTCACTTTAAAATAAGAATTACACCAAACATCACCCCTTACATAATTAAAGAAAGCAATTTATGTTAAAAATTAAAAAAAAAAAACTTTGTTTAAGCTTAATTATGCACAGGAAGAAATTAGAATACTTAGTATTTATGCATAAAGTTAACAACTGCCATACCATTAAAACTGCGTAGTTACTGAGGGAGTAGCACTGAATTGTAGTGATATTTTCATCTGAGTAGAGTATACGGCACCCATCTGACTTCCAGCCTCCTTGTCCATTCAGCAAATCAAAATCCCACTGGGCTGCAATGGCATCTGCTCCATGTGCGATGCGACGCAGTGTCACATTAACAGGAACGTGGTGGGTATCTACATTCACACCATCTGGAGAAAATGGGAAATAACAATATTTTTGAAACAAACTTCATAAAGAACTAAATGTCAGTGTATACACTAATGGGTACTCTGCAAGATCTTTCTTTCGCTAGTGACTCATTAAAATGAGAAGGAACGAAAATAAGCAGTTTTTAGGAACAATGAACAATAAAGCCACACTGTCCAGTGAGCACAAGGTAGCATATGCCACATACGAACCTATCTTGGTGAGAATCACAGGGGTGACCACTGTGCGCCGCTTCCCATCGTCAGCCAAGTTGGTCGAATTTCCAGTGGCTGGAAAGAGCTTCCCATTACGGAATGCAATGAGTTGAAGCTTGTAGAGAGAGTCATCGGGTGATCTAGCCTCTCTTTTTTGCTTTGGTGAGAAAAGGGAAGGAGGAAGCTGAATGGAAGCCTCCACAATAGTATTCTGAAGAAAAAAAAAAATACATGAAAAAATAAACAAAAGCAAAAAAAAAAAACCAAAACACAGAAGCGAGGTTTCCATCTTCATATGCAGAAAAGAGGTAAAGATCAGATAGTTATGAAAGTCTTCTAAATACATGTTGAATGTTTTTTAAAGTTGTATATCCAAAATCTCATAGTTACAACAACTGATAAGCTAAGCAAACCAAGGCAGCCCAGACCAAAAGAGCATAAAACACGGAGAAATTCAAACTCCATGTTAAAGAGTTTAAGAAGTAAACAAGGGAATCATTTCAAATTACAAAGTTAATTTTCCCACAAGAGCACACATTGCTGAAGCAGAGAGCATTAAAACAGACCGAGGACCTCAGAGCCACTCCTCATGGCAATTTTGCCATGTCTGGCAAAGTACAGTAAAAACTAAGGTCAAGGTTGTGCACCCTGAATGTGAGTATAGCTAATGTAGGCTTACGGAACTTAAGGCGGTTTATGACAGACTCAACCACTCAAACAACAAAAGAATGACATTTTACAAACATAAGTTTAAATTCAGCAAACTCTTCTTACAGCACCCCTTTTCTTGACTCTAAGAACATACTTGGAAAAACAAAGTAACGGATAAAAACAACTGAAGATGCTGACTGATTATGGAATGTTTTTCTGATTTCTTTACTGGAGATTTTAAACTATTCAGCATTCAATATAAAAAGCCCAGACACAAAGAGGCTAGGAATTAACTATCTTTTTAAAATTCTCTATTTTAAAAATTTATTACCAAGTCTTTCTCCTGGCCACTGATCTCCCTCCCTCCAAACTGATGCTCAAAGCACCAACAGGATTTCCAGTTTAAACAGCACCTTGGCCTGCAAAGTCACCATACACTGCTCCCAAATCCCAAGTATGGCAAACAATGTGACCCAGACCTTCTGCTCAGACTCATCTCCTACCAATCTTCCAGCACACTGGTAACCCAACCACAAAATTCTCCACTCAGAGTTCCCCTCTGCTCCCTGACTCTACTGGGCATGAATGAACGAAATGCTCTCCTGTTCTGACAAACTCTTGAGTTTATCTGATTTTTAGCAAAGTTAATTCTTGCTTAAGGGAGATGGGCAGCCAGGATCTACTCGGGACTTTATGTGGGGTCCTTCACACTGGGCTTCTTTGGACAGTGAAGCACGTCTTTGCAGGAAGTAGTTGGCTTTTATAGCTGGCTGCACCCGCTCTGGACTTGGTTGTGACACGGATGTGCACAGAATGCTCCAAGTACTGCAGATTCAGTGCGAACTCGTTCTCTGCTGCACGAGGCCATCTAGGAGGATTTCTGAGGACAGTAATGCTCATTTCTGGATCCCAACATTAATGCTTCCTGGCATTGGTATCTGATAAAAACAGCTGTTTATGGCGTGAACAAAGTCAGGTTTGTTCTTTCAAAAAGGATTCCATTGAGGCAAATGATTGACTACAGAATTATTTTGCAACAATGTCAAGTTGAGCAGATGTCTGAAAGTGTCTGTTGGAGAATATGTTTTATAAGTTTAAATATTATTTTTAAATTTAAATTACCAAGAAAAATATTTGCCAGAAATATTTTGCCTAAGAAAAAACACAGAGGCTTCTAACAAATACATCCTGATGGAGAAAGAAAGTTTAATTATAAATTCATTTGCTAATCTAGTAAATTTCTATAAAGTATACAAATTTCTCTGAAGTATATAATGGGCATATGAAGAAGAAAAACAGATTAGAAGTTCAAAATCCTAATAAAATGTTACATAATGCATATTCATTGAAAATTAAGTACTCAAAATCATAAAATAGTTCTACTTGGTAATACATTCATAGACCACAAAATAACTTGACAACAAAGCATAGTTATTGGAGAGAGAATTAATAATGATAAATTGAAATTATTCTTAAAAAGTAATACCTAGTAGGTTCTAAGAGAAAGCTACAGAAGGAAAACATGAATACTTTCTATAAGACAAGAAAGGTCTTCTCCACAAGTTTAACTTGCAAACCCAACCCCAAACAACAACAAAACAAATATTAATAGCTACATATCCATGGCTGTTATACACTTAAACGCTTTCTAAAATCTCTTTCCAAGTCCAATAAAGATATTACTAAACCATAGTCACAGGTTCTCTGGAATGGAGAAAGGGTCTTCTATGGGTTTTTGATAAAGTGCACCTCACCTCTATCAATTATGTTTAGATTTTTATGGTAGGAATGTAAAACTGACACATTTCTTTTAAGGAAGTCTTATAAATCTAATCAAAGAAAGAACACTTATTTCGTTTGTTATAGTTACTATGATTATACAAAAGTCTCTTGACCTAAAGGCATAGAACACAAAGTTTAATTTCATGTAACTAACTATACATTTATTTTTTAAATGTATGGATTACAGTAATGAGGTAGGTGTAACGCAGGAACTACAGTTAATAAATAAATAAAACATGATGAAAGACCACGCGTCATGAGAAGAACTTGTGATCTGAAACATGATGGTGGGATCTGTGTCCCCAGGACAGCACGGAGAAGCTCCTCTTGGGCTAACCTGAGCCTCACCTGCTGGACACAGCTGAGCATCTAACAAATGGTGGTGAGGCCCAGGGGACCGACTCTGACCAGCACCAAGGCTGTGGAATGGAGGATGGTATTCCTGTCACCATAACCTGGACAGGGTGGAAGAGGTGGACAGAGGAAATGCCTGGAAGTGATCCACTCACCAATAAGGTGGACCTTCCTCATGATCCAGCTTCTACGATCTGGTTTGGTATTAACTTTACAAATTGATGAAATAGGAACACACATGAAATGAATGTTACCACGGAGCTCTTCCTATTTGCTAAACTAAAAAGAAAATGACATTAAGCTAAAAAGAAAATAAGTGATATTAAGGATGACAACTCAAACACAGAAATCCTTCTGCTGGATTTTACCATCTTTCCTTAAGAATCAAGATTTCCTCTACTTCATAATCGATACTTTAAAATTTGCAGAAATCTCATTAAAATTTTCAGAAATCTTATTAAAATCTATAGCATTCCATGACTAAAGTCAGAATGGGTCAAAACCATCAGATGCCAAACAATAATATACTAATTTACCCAAGTTTCTTTTTTTCTACTTACTCACTTTCAAACAATAGGAATTCTGACCTATCTGAATCATTTTCTTGTGTGTAGCTACTAGGTATTAGCCGCCTATCACCTTTCAATTTCCTCACTGCTATAGATTAACGGGGATTACGTTTGCCTTTAGAACGTTTAGCTGACTTTCTTTGTTAATTAAGTCCACTGTTAATTGTATTCAACTGCAGCTGTTAGATATTGAGCTACTCTGTGCCTGACACTGTGCAGAACCTAAAGACATACAATGAAAGAAGCTGTGGTCCTTGGTCATCTGTTTAGAATATGAATATTGGATGGCAACAAGTACAAAACAATATGAGCCAATACTTATTGATTATTCTGTGCCAAGTACCATTATGAATGTCTGCACATTTACCTCATTAATCTTTTCAGTAACTCCTTAAGTACCATTACATAATCCCCCATGAAACAGATAAAGAACTGACATTCAGAAAGGTTAAGATACTTTTCCCAAGTTTGCACAGCTGTTAACTGGGGGGGAAGAGAACAGCAACCCAGGCTGCCTGGCTGGAGAGACCACACTCTTAGTTGCCATATCATAGGCTTCACTATCAATCATTATGCTGCCTTAGAACTACTCTGGAGAATGAACAAAGCCTCAGGGGATTCACAGGCAATGATTAGCTCTGCCTAGGGAAGAGAAGGAAGGCGCCATTTGTACAGAGTCCTAGGGTGAAAACAGCATGAAGACCCAGAATGACTGCTCTGAAAACTCACAGAACAGGACATGGCCAGGACGAGAGCGCTCTTGGACGTGTAAAGAAAAACTGAATTCTCAATTCTGGTCAAGTAAATTAGGAAGAATCAGCACCTGCTGGCTAGATTATAGCTGAGCTCAAACACTTGCTAACGGCTAAAAAGCCCTTGGCAGTTTACTGGAAAGACATGAGTTTATTAGGCTCATATGTGAATTATGGAATCAACAGTGAAGGGGATCATTTTGATAAGAAAAATGTCAGAATAGATTTGACTGATGCTATTGGCAAGAGTCAAGGACCAGGCAACTCCACCTCCAATGGCAGACCACAAGGCGGGGCACTGGGTTCACAGTGACCCAAGCACAGCTCTGCCCCCGAACAGCCCACCGTGACCCATGAGTGGCACATGATGACGGAGACAGGCAGCATTACTGAAAAGTGAAGGGAAACAGAGGACCCGCAGGCGAGGCAGGAGAAGACTGATTGATCAGAGGGTGTCAGACTTCACGGACGGGACATTTCTGAAGGGTCTTTAAACATAATCATGGAGCTAGGAAGGGAGGGGAGAAGCAGGGGACTCCAGGAGGAAAATCAGGGGGTGCCTGCACCCAACGTGGATAGGCGGTTGGGAAAGGAAACAGAAGTCTGCCATCACTGGGCACAGGGAAGAGCAGGCAGGAGGAGATATGAGCAAGAGCACTAATGTGGAGGGAGAAAGTCACCCAGCAGACACCTCCGAGACGGATGTTATGAAGGGTTGACTGAGGCTGACTTCCCTTCCAGCCAGATCTGGAGACAATGCTCACCAATGTCAACAACCTGAGATGGCACAGGCACTGTCAGAACAGGCTCCATGGAGGGGGACACTGTTAGGTGCCCTCTGCTCTGCAGGTACCAACTGCAGGATGTGGGAAGGACGGTCTACATGGTGGTCCTCACAGAGGGCCACAGGGCCAAGAGGCATTCAGGGGATGGGAGCAGCCACTGTTTGCTAAATGGTAGGAAGGTATTTCAGTTATTTTATTTACCAAATGGCAGGGTTACATTGGCACATGCTGGCTGATCAATAGTGCCCCCAGGTAGACAAACCTACACGAGTCATGGATTTGTATGGAATGGCCTATCGTACCAAAACCAAACAGGAATCTTCAACAGTTAGGGAATTTACGATAGTTTGGGCAATACAGGTGGAACTTGACTTAGGATGGGTCAACGTATACTTTTTCCACAAACAGAAACACATTCAGCAGGAACCACACTTTGATTTTTGAGCTTTTTCCAGGTTAGTGGCATGTGTTAGTGATCTATTTTCTCACAACACAGGGCAGTAGCAAACCACAGCTCCCAGGCAGCCGTGAGCTCACAAGGCTAAACGACCGAGACTCGAGCATTCTGTGTTGCTAAACTATGGTGTCTGGGAGGTCAGGTGCCATCAATATATGTTCAACTTGGGATATTTTTAACCTTACAATGAGTTTGAATCTATAGAGGATGGGAGTCCAAACCTGGCTAGGAGGGAGCCTTCAGGAAAGCACAGAAAGTCAAAACATGCAGGAGGCAAATCACTTGAGACATCTACTGCCAACTCAAACATCCTCTTAAAAAATATGTAAAAGAATAAAAATATCTTCTTTATGGGTTTAACTTCATATGATCCATTTAAGGGTAATGTAATCAATTGCTGGTTGTTCAAATTGTCTAGTTAGTATATTCAAGGGATTAAAAAAAGTATGCACAGGAAGAATAAAAACTGCTCTAGCATTAAAGTTTAAAATGTGAAGAAAGTCCTCTGTCAAAGTGCTAAAGCTTAAGTACATTTGGTGCTGCTGATGTTAAAACAGTTAACTAATTTTATTTCATGGAAGATATGTTCCTTTTCCATTCAGTGTAATGATGTCCATCTATGAAGCATGAATAATAATGTAGTGTATTCTTGCTCTGGTCACAGGATGATCTTTAAAAAGACAGAACATGAAACTGGAAAATCTGAGAGTATTCATTTAGAGCTTTCTGCTTTAGAGGGCAGAAACCCTCCTTACACAGAGGTATAGGCCGTGACGCCGACGAAACGTACAGTTGCATCATTTTTAAGCCCTTTCTACCAGCCGTGATCATCTACGACAGAAAGTTCATCATTTTTAAGGCTCCTCAAAAACACATGCCCTTGTGTGTCTTGCTATTCCTACGCCTTCTGTGGTTTATTTTTACCAATAAATGATGCAACACAGAAAATTGAGCAGGTCTACAGTGTAAGGCTGGGTACATCAAGTATTCTCAGAGCCAAAAGTAGAAGAAGAATCTTGCCCATTTTCCTGAGTATATGGTACCAAATAAATATTATATTATCAGACTTGTTGAGGTTATCTTGGTGAGTTGTGATATTTGTAAATTTGGCAAATGAGCTCTCTTTATGGAAGTCACCAGGGTAGAGTTTGACAGAATACACTGATTATGCATTCATCCATTCACACATAATAGGCACCTACAGTATACCAGAATATATTTGATTGATTTTTGTAAAGCCATTAAAATGACTAGAACTGGGGGCAGTGGTGCACACCTGTAACCCCAGCAGCTCGGGAGGCTGAGGCAGAAGGATTGTGAGCTCAAAGCCAGCCTCAGCAAAAAAGTGAGGTGCTAAGCAACTCTATAGTTAGACCCTGCTCTAACTATAATACAAAATACAGCTGGGGATGGGGCTCAGTGGTCTAGTGCCCCCAAGTTCAATCTCTGGTACCCAAAACAAAATGTCTAGAATACTGTTTATAATGCCAGTCAGGAACAAATCAGAAAAGAAGTTCTGAGTAATTAAAAATCACAGAGAATATAATAGCACATGACCACACAAAGCTAAATGAAAATGTTGCTCCATTAGGGAACTGAACTTCTGCCTCCAGCTACTTAATTCAATGTGGCTTAGTGAAACACATCTATATGCCCAAATTTAAAAAAAAAAATCAATAAAAATGAGATATTGAGATATATGTGTGTGTATATATATATCTATATATACATTCACTTCTTTGCCAAAAATCTTGTTATTCACCTTGCCTGATTAAATGCCTGGCCTCAAGGCTGACTTCTCTTTGGTAAGGACCCATATATTTGTAGGGGTCCATAAAAATGTTTTAGTGTCGGGCTGGGGATATTGGCTCAAGCGGTAGCGCACTCGCCTGGCATGCGTGCGGCCTGGGTTCGATCCTCAGCACCACATACCAACAAAGATGTTGTGTCCACCGAGAACTAAAAAATAATATTAAAAATTCTCTCTCTCTCTCTCCTCTCTCACTCACTCTAAAAAAAAAAAAGATGTTTTAGTGTCTTAATATGAGGAACCAAAAAAAAAACTTTTAGGTAAAAGAAATTGTTTTAATATATTTGTTTTTATCGTATTGCAGTCATAAAATGTAACTTTTGTTATTTTTGTGTAGAGAATGGAGAGTCCAAGACAAAAATGCTTAAGGTCCAGGAAAGTCATTATGAGGCTCTTCATGGTATAAATTTCCTTTTAAAAACCCCCACAATATCCCCATACTTCTCCCCCACCTCCTCCCTCACCCCCTCCAAAAACCACTTTTATCAAAAATACAGAGAACAATAAATGTTGGCAAGGATGTGGGGGAAAAGGCACACTCATTCATTGCTGGTGGAACTGCAAATTGATGCAACCAATCTGGAAAACAGTATGGAGATTCCTTAGAAAACTTGGAATGGAACCACCATTTGACCCAACTGTCCCACTCTTCAGTCTATACCCAAAGGACCTAAAATAAGCATACTATAGTAACACAGCCACATCAATGTTTATAGCAGCTCAATTCACAATAGCTAAACTGTGGAACCAACCTAGATGCCCTTCAGTAGGTGAATGGATAAAGAAACTGTGGTATATGTACACAATGGAATATTATTCAGCTTTAAAAGAGAATAAAATCATGGTGTTGGAGAATATCATGCTAAGCGAAGTTAGCCAATCCAAAAAAACCAAAGGCCAAATGTTCTGATAAGTGGATGCTGATCCATAATGAGGGACATAGCCAAAAGCACTTTTAATAAGGTTATTTTGCAAAGCAAAAGACTTTGTTCTAAACTAATGTGAATATCGATTAGAGAATATAACCTACCTTTAGTGCCAGACTTGAAAACGTATTTGAAACGTTGCACTTGAAGCTCAGCTGCTTGTCTAGGTTCCCATCTGGATCCCGCCTCCCATAATCAGAAAGTCCTGTGCGGTCGGAAGCTGCCACCTTCTGGAACACGGTGCAGGTCATCCCGGTGAAGCCAGCGGCCTTGATGACGTAAGCCTCCAGAGCAATATTGGGTGAATACTTCAAAAACCAACCAAAACAGGAGTTATGAAAGAGTTATAATCTGGAGGAAAAGCAATTTCCAAGACTTTTCAAACACAAAACACTGTACGTATAAGCCAAACTAAAAAGCACAAGTCCTCATTAAACAAATAATATGTGGAAAACTGGACAAAATTTAAAAGGCGATGGAACAAAACAACAACAAAAAAGTCCTAAAATGGAAAGATGATCAATGACAAGGAAAACAAGCTATACCTTACAGGAAATCAGCTATAAATGAGAAGTCAATTAAAAAATCATAGTTTGCAGGCTGGGGGTTCAGTAGAAGAGGACTTGCCTAGTGTGCACAGGTCCTGAGTTCAATCCCCAGCACTGCAGAAAGGTAAACTAATCTAAAAAGAATAGAATTAATTTGAAAAGTATTTTGCAGGAAAAAAAAAGCTACACAGTCAAAATGGAAGATCCTATTAAAAAAAAAAAAAATCAACTAGAGAAATCAGTAAACCATTAATGACCATTTCATGGGAGGAAATGGAAGGCAACTAGTAGGGTTTGAAATCAGCACCTGAAAGTTCAAGATCTCAGGTCATATTCACCTTTTCCCTTTCCAGGGAGAGCAAGTTAACTCTTTGCATTAGGTTTACAGAGATTCACTCCAAAGCTGTTTATTCAGAAAAGAAAGGGAAGTGTTAGTTCCAAGAGTAGGAAAGAAACAGATTTAAGAGTGATCAGATTAAGATAGCACCTGCCCCAGAGTTTTCAAGGGACTCAAAAGTAAGCTAAACCTGGGGGCTCTGCCAAAATGTAGGACCTGCTGATACCACAGCTGCCAAAAACCAAGTATCACACATTCATCAGAAGCACACCAGAATGGGCTCGAGAAGTACCAGGCTGATGAGCCGCACGTTCAAATCCAGCAATGTGACAGGACCTACTGCCAATGCCAAGGGCAATGTGGTGTCTCTCCATTTCCTAGAGAGTGTTAGGTGAACCTCTATCGTAGGAACAAAGCAGCACCTCATGTCCTATATGAGGACAGTGTTTTTTTTTTTTTTTTTTTTTTACATGAGACTCTGGTATGAGATGCTTAAAATCTATTAGGAAGATACAAATTCTAAAATGTGAGGAGGAGGAAGGAATTTGGCAAGTGCGGCACACATGGTACTGACTCCAAAGGACGGTATTTTCTACATATGACAGAAAATGATTACTGGTTCTCAAATTTTTCAAGAGTAAACAAAGTTTGTATTAGCTTTTGTCTCACAGAAAAGCTTAATAATTAAAGTCTGTTAGTTAACAAATCGTGTGTGTTCCAGTTTTTTATTGATCAAAGCTCCACATAAAAAACTGAGTTTTTGATGAGTAGCACTAACCATGATCAGCACATGAAACCTCAGTTAAAAGAAAGAAACCTTCCTTTCAAGACCCCCAGCACCATATCCTTTCTTAATACAGCAGCCCCCCCACTCATAGTTCCATTTTTCCCCCATTTCAGTTATCTTCAATCAACTGCAGTCAGAAAGAAAATATTAAATGGAAATTTCCAGTAATAAATAATTCATAGATTTTAAATAACTTTTAGCAGAATATATTATTATAACTGTTATTTTATTATTATTTACTATTAACCTGATACCATGCCTGGTTTACAAATTAAACCTTATCCTAAGTATGGACGTATAAGAAAACACACAGCGTACACAGGATTTGGTACTATCTGTGGTTTCAAACACTCACTTCGATTTTAGAACACTTCCCTAGGAAGTAGAAGGAACTGCTACTATGTAAGATGTGTCACTCCTACACTCATTTTACACGTTGAAATGGCAGGTGAAAATACACACTATCACCTTTACTACACCCAGGAGTTCTCAGAACTGGTGAGGTTCGGAAGAAGGAAGTAGGTTCTCTCCACTGAATGATAAGAAGGCCCAAGGATGGTATTCAAACTGGGTTTGATGGGCTGGGGAAAATGTAAGGTGACAAGCTGGTTTCAAGTAAAGTCATGGATCTGTGAGGGAGAGGATGGGCCTCTATTTTATTTACTATTCAGGAGAGTAACCCTCATCATAAAGGAGCAAAAATTACAATAAAACACAGTACAATAAAAAATGGTCTCAGAAATCAATGAAAAAGTGATAATCTTAAAATTGCATAAAATCTCTGCTGTAAGGGTAGAATATTCAACACTACACGAACCCATTCAGAGAGTTAAAAAAATGAAAACCGTGGGCCATCAGAATAAGACTGCTAAAGAAACAACATACCACACTTCTCACAGTTTTAGAACAAAAAGTAAGCAATACAGAGGAAGTTGAAACAGTTCAAGTTAGCAAAGATAAAATTCAGTACTATTTAACTGGGTGATTATCATGCCAATTGCTTCACAAGTGTTGGAGGGTATCCAGTGCTCTTCTGAGACCAGTGTCTGGGCAAGCAATCAGGCATTCTCTCAAAACATTCCTGAGGGCCCAGAACAGAGTACTAGCTCCCTAGCTCCGATGGACCGTGGGTAAGAGCCAATAGAACACTACAACAGCGCTCTTACTTTCCTTGTAGAAACAGGTTTCAGTGGATTCCATGGTGCTAAACATTCAAATGAGAGATTTTCAGAGTTCTCTCCAGTTACCAATGAAATTGATTACTCAAAAGCAAAATCAGCTTTTAAAATATTTTAGAAAAGAAAATTCTATTAACAGAAACTGCGCACCCAGTAAGAGACCTGTGTTTTTTGGGTTAGAGTCACTACAGTGAATTTTTTGTCTAAAATACTGTCACACTCACTGTTGAATAAACATGAGCCCCACTGGCGAGCCGGTAGGTAGCGATGCGCTGTAGACACTGAACAATCCGACTGCAGGCTCTCGCTTCCCTCTGCGCCAGCCACAGGACCCGCTCATCAGCCAACATGATGTTGCTTGCAATGTCAACCATCACGTCCCCTAGCTAGTGAACATGGAGGAAAAAGAAAGAAAGATCTTTGGAGCCGAGGCAAGCTGTCCAACAGCATCAAAATCCTACAGAGACAACAAGAACTTCCATCTAAATTTTTTACATGAAAACCCAACAGGCACTTTTCTTGTTTCTCATTAAAACAGCTTTGGATATGAACAGCAATTCAACTATGGTCATTTAAAAATATTTAACTCAAAACAGGTACTTAAGTAGTCACTACCTCACTGGTGAAGAGACCACTGCCTGGCATCTTGAAAAGAGGAAAAGAAGGACAAGTGACAGATTAACAAGATGATGATGTCACAGGACCCCAGGACAAAAACAGCTCTAGTCTTCACCTCAAAACCATTATAAACGTTTCTTTGTGTATACGCATTAGCTCAAATAAAACTCGATGATTAGTTAAAAAAAAAAAAAAAATCTGTACTTCCCCCCTCTTGTTTAATCTCATCATGTTCAAAATTCCAGGCACGTCCATGCACCGTGAGTTTCCCGTTCCTGTGGTGCAATCTGTACTCTGGTGTGTGGTTTCCTCCCCATGAATGAAATCATTCTTCCCTTCCTTGGGACTCAGTGAATGCTTCAAGACCCAGAACCTTGAAATGAATGGACCCTAAGAGGAACTACTCTACGGTTTGCTTTATGTGTTTCCTATGACTGATTTTTTTTTTCTTTAGCTCACTTCAGGCCTCACAGATGTAAACATCTAATCAAGCCATGCTAGTATTGCTACTGTCACCTGTGTATCCCTGCACAACCCGCCTCCCCATGAGAAATGCACTGAATGATCCAGCTAACAGGACACACTGTTGAAGAGGGAGGTTTGTACAGAGCAAATTCTTCACAAGGAGTCTGTTGCAGAGAGGATAATAAAAACATCTACAGGCTGGCTGGCTGGCCCTCTCCCCCAGAAGTAGGCATCAAAGGTGGAGGCCCCAGTGCAAGCCAAGAAGCTGCCACTGCTTCAGCAATTGTCTCCTGGTCCTCCCAAGAAGATCCCACCTAAGGTTTCACTCCTCTTCTGCTTCCAGCACTCTTCCCAGTGCATAGAATTATGAGGGCAGAGGCGGTTTTGGAACAAGTTCAGTCCAAACCCCAGGATTCACTTTACAAGGAAGACAGGCAGATCTAAAACCTGGAACCATGGAGTGAGGTGGACAGAGGTGAGACCAGCACCTTAATGGTGACACTGCCACCCACCCACATCTTCCCGCTCAGTAAACGCATAGCAATGGTCCTATCTTCTGAACAAGGTGCAGACCACACTCCAATGATAAATGCAGGCCTCCGGAGACCATGTCTGGCACCCAACAAGCACTCCAAAAATGTTGGCTCTGCTTGTTATTTTACTAAAGCATTTTTAATGCTAAAATCGACTTCTTTTTTAAGATGACAGGCTCCAGAAGTGACAAGGTGTGTATTTCACAAGTCTGTGTTCACATATAACCAGAACTAACAAAACCGGCTTTTTGCCCTCTTAAAGCCCCAGCCCCCAACCTCAATCTGATCTGAAAAAATCCTGACTCCGTACTGTCCTGATCACAGTGGACCATGATTATTTCCATGTTTTGTTTCCAATGTAAACATCTAGGAAAAGGGACATCATACTACTTACTTACACTTATACCATTATTCACTAGTAGAATTGGTATGGAGCCCAAGAGTTATCTATGTTTATTAATCAATGCTTATCAACGTTCATTATTCTGTTCATGTACAATGTGTATTAAGTAAACATTTGTTAAGGGTCAAAGTGAGCCCTGCACAGTAGACATACAGCAGTGAAGGAAACACACATGATCGGTTCAAGCTTAGAGCCCAGTGAAGAAAATTCAAAACAAGCCAGTAATCCCATTCTTTAAATATGGTCTAGACTGTGATCATGGCAATGACGAAGAATAACAAAACAATCCATCTCCCTTATTTTAATAGAGTCACATGTTCTCACACGGTACTTCTCCCAAATCTAAGATATCAACACAATCAACTGGCAGAGAGGAAAAAGCCCACCAGGCAAGGTGGCACTCGCCCACAAATCCCAGGACACAGGTCAAGGCAGGAGATCATTTGAGCAAAGAAGCTGTAGACTAGCCCGGGCAACAGAGCAAGACTCTGTCTTGAGAGGAAAGAAAGAAAGAAAGAGAGAGAGAGAGAGAGAGAGAGAGAGAGAGAGAGAGAGAGAGAGAGAGAGAAAGAAGAGGCTAACAACCACATTTTACAGAATTCCATTCATTCCACTTTCTATGATTCACAGGAATGGTATCCCAGGACATTTTCCTTCTGATGACAGGGCTGGTGAATACCACTCCACAGGAAGTTACAAAGACAGGTTCTGACCCCTGATATGTCCATTACTGAATGTACCAGTCAGGTGTCTATACAGAGATTAACTAAGAAGTCCTAATTTTAAATGGGAATTAAGAACAGCTGGAATGACTTAAGTTTTTGTCCATTATTATGATTTATTGTTACCTCGAGTTTCTATGTGGAAATCAAAAAACTAAGAGAGATGAAATAGTCAAATATGCTTTATGACTATCAGAAATGAAATTCCTGTTGGCTACAAAAACTTAAGAGATAAAGCACATAAAAATACTGATTCTATTCTGAGGCACTACTAACTATATGAAATACCTGCACAGCACAAGTACAATTAAAATTTGTTTACCATTTTTTTTTGCAGATTAAAATATATGGTCTGTATAATGATTTAACATAAAACCTGGCAGACATGTCATCTTTCCAGAAAAATTATGATAACATGACCAAAGAATTCTGCTCTGCTCCACTAGATAAGACCCATGTAGCAATGTAACTGATGTAATTGAGCACCTCTAGGAAGGTAAGAGGATGACCCTAGCCAAGAACAAGCCATTTTTCTCATTTTTATACCAAATGGCTAAGAACCAAAGAAAGGAATTTGTTGCCAAAATATTTGTAGAGCAGATAATCACAGAATGCTACATGTTTCTGTAGCCTGGTTAGGGAAGTGGCTCTGAATCCGACACAGTGGCCAAAAGGGACACAAGAGGAAACAATGCATTGGATTGAAAAAGTATTCCTGAAATCGGACACACAGAGACAATTTTAATGTGCAACCGGTATTCCATACAAAGCATCGTATTTGTCCCTGGACTCATTTCCTGTAGGTCACTCCAAAGGGTCGGAAGGAATCAGGCACCTGTTCCTGCACCTGTCACACTAAACTGTAAGGACCAATGAAAACACATGGGAACTCACTTTATCAAAGATGAAATGTGAAGAAATAAAAATGCCACATGAATAACAATGAAAGTGTCCAGAGCCACGGTTGTAAGAGATAGATCATTCTATGTTCTAAAGTCAAAATCATCTGCAAATTCAATAAATGTCTGATACGTTACATTAATAAACAGACAAGATAATATACAAACTCCATCTTTAATTATAATGTAGTAGGCATACGGTGTTTAACACTGAAGACAGAATACTCCTGTGGCCTGGAGTTCAGTGTTCCTGGATTAAGGCTGTCACTTACAAAGTTAGATATTCCAGAGCAAATCAGTTGGCCTCGCTGAGACCCAGTTTGCTCAGGTGTAAAATAAGGAGACCAGGTTCCCTGTAAGAAATGCTCAGCACATCTCATTCCATGCTAAATTAAAACAAAGGAAACCCAGAAGACAAATGTCTTCTCACACAACCTAGTGGAAATAGAAATAAAGAAAAGCAGGCAGTTTCTAAGAAAGGCCAAGTGACTTAGGCCCTTCCCATATTTATATTTTCAAGTGCAGAGTGGTGAGGGACACTGTCAATTCTAAGAACCAGAGAAACAAGAATGACAAACAGATATGTAGCTGGGCATCTGTTTCAGGGAAGCTAATACGGAGGATGGAGACGAGAGGTTGGAGTGACCTGTCATCCAAACTTGATTAAGATGTCACAGCATTTTCACCATCATGGCTGCTTTTTTTTTTTAAATTTTTATTTATTTTTTTTTAGTCATACATGACAGTAGAATGCATTTTGACATATAATACATACATGGAATGTACATACATCAATCATATTGTCTATTCTATTCTGCTGCCCTTCCTATCCTCCCTGCTCCTCCCCTCCTCTCCCATCCACGGCTGCTATTAACAGAGAGGTCTTCATGATTGTCAAACAAGCAAACAGTACACTTAAGAGAGATGTCAGAACATTCCCATTAACACCTCTTAATCCATACTGATCTGGAGGGACCCTGTATTTTCATAAAAATAAATAAATAAAAATAGAGGGGTACATTTTTAGATAAGAACTGATGAACCAATTATTTATTTGCTGATGACCTAACTGTTCATCTAGAAAATAACAGCTCACCAACTGCAAAATGGCATGAATGAATTCTACAAGGTAACTAGGCAGGAGATCCACATCTTTAAGAAATCATAATCAAGGAAAACAGAACATGGACTACATATCGGCAGATACTAGGGACGTGGGCTAATCCTGGTGACAGAAGAGTGATTTTTAAAGCTCCTTTTATTTTAGAAAATTATGAATGAAATATGATGTATGGAATTTGTTTTTAAATGCTCCAGCACTAAGGGAAAAAAAATGAAGCAAAGGAGCTAAGGAAAGAAGGAAAAAGGAAGGGCGGGCAGAGGGAAAGAAGGTAAGGGGGAAAGACGGGTGAATTGAGATGGTGAAAGCTGAAAACTGATAAATTTTTCCAAAGAAAAAGTTCTCAAAAACTTAAACCCAAAGGAAAAACATTTTTAAAAGCAATATCAGGATAGAAAATTAAGACAGTACAAAGGTTTTCAAAGCCTAGGCCAAGGACACACTTCCCAGCATTACCTGAGCTGACCTTCTGCAAGTCACCTTCTCAGAACCAGCCCCAGAGTTACTGTGTCAGCACCTAGGAACTGCGGGCAGGGGTCTGCTCACAGCAGCAGTCTCTGTTTAACAAACCCTGCCAGTGATTCTGACCCAAGCTCAATCACAGAGCCAGACCCAGGTCTTTGAAAAGATTAATCATACAGAAAAGTCTGGCAAGTAAGATCAAGAAAAAATTAAAAAATATTAAAAATAAAGAATCATAATAAATGTCAAAAAGGAAATGAATATTTAAAAATGAATAAATAAAAGAACTATACATTTTAAAATCTGTTCATAAAAATGAACTAAATGAACTTAAGTAAACTAGCCTAAGATATGTGTCTCACTTGCATATTTAAAACTAGAGCTCAATAAAGCAATATAAACCAAATCTACACTTTATCATCTTCTGAAATGGATATCTACTGGTTTCATAAGAAAAATACTTCTAATGAATATGGAATAGAGACTTATGTTGTCTGACAATCTTTAGCTGTTTTTAGAAAACAACTTAATACGTCAGTTTGATAGCTTTTAGTATCTATTCCTAAGACAAAAGAGTACTAGTCTGTGTTGGTTAGACTCAATCACAATTTAAAAAGCAATTACCTCGCTATACTTTACTTAACAAATTATCCACGGCAGAATTAACTTTTGGGACATAATACAAAAATCAATTAATTTTTTGTCCCTCTAAGACACGTGCATTTTAGGATATCCTACCATAATTTTATGCTGTTAATTAACTTAAAATGAAGTCCTGAAACCTCATAATTTCTTTTTACTACACTAATAAACAGTGAAAGCTACAGCCTACAGTTTAAGGTTCCAAAGAGCTGTATAGGAAATCAGTCACCACATCACAGGTAATGTTACATTTATGTGCCCACAACTCAGTGACTCAGTCTTGAATATTTTCCTTCTCTTTCTCTTATTTATGCTTGGTAAGTTCCTGTTACTTGTTTTCAAAGACAATCATTAACTTTATACCATGAAATGATAGAAAACTCCTTCAAACTAAACTTTAGGATAACTAAATAAAGTACTCAAGATTTTCTAAGATCCTAAGAAGATTAATTTCATACCCTAAAAAAAAAAAGAGAGACCCAAATTTTGCAACTATTTTGCAAAAAAAAAAAAAAGTTTTACCTGGATTTTCTCATTTGTTCATATGAACTCTGCAAGTTAAACAGGGCAGCATTTCCATTTTAAAAATAAGGAAGGGCCCACGGTTAGTTAACCCACAAAACTGTCTTCTCCCTGTTCAGTAGGACATTTCCACCTAGAACCATCAAAGCAGCAGACTGTTCACTCAACGCACTGGCAACAGTTCAACTTGAACCTCAGGGCTACACTGTTCTTTGCAAATTGAGAGGTAAGCAAGAAATTCCTCACATCCAAACAGGGTAGGGAGGGAAGAAACAGGCATTATAACTTGGCAAAATCTTTTTTCAGTGCTCACGTTCCAAATGTCATTATAATTATTCTAGTAATTCAAAACATTCCACTTCCAGAAACAACCACTAATCATGTGGGCAGCTAACCTGTGATTTAAGCAACAATGAAAAACAAAAGCAGAAGAGTCAGAATCCAAACCACTTCTCCCAGCGCTAAGAACACTTACCACAGGGAGCGGCTGTGGCCTGGAGCACAATGGAACAGCAGGACAGCTCATTAGAAAACCCCAAGTCTCTAGAGTTCAGATAACAGTACTGAAATATTCTCCCACTGGCCTGTGAAGTCCCTGTTTGCCTGAGTTCCATTAATGTACACATATCTATTTTCCTTCCTTGAACAACTACATCCTAACAAGAAAAATGTCTAACATCAGAGCGCCAAGACTCCTGAAGATACTCTACCGAAGGAAAAAAAAAAAAAACAATCTTTGGTTAAATGATATAGGGAAAACAAAATGAATAATTTACCTTTGAGCCATATCAATGTACCTGAGATGTCCTACATAAAGATTCATGTTTTGTTTGGCCAGTGTGTTTCCCTTAGTTCTGCAAGACAGGGCAACACTGTCCTAGAAGGCAAATGTGAGGCTGCAGGACATTCTTCTGGAACATTGAGGGAAGCTTCTGGGACCTGCTTGCTTTCTTTCAGCCCTGCATTGTGCTCCAGTTTGGACTGAGCAGGTTCCTTCTACCTACAGTTCATTTTGGTATGAGGGATTATATTACAAAGGAAACAACGAAGTTCTCACACAGCTCAAAACTTACACCTTCAGAACACAATAAATAATCTTGCCTCATACAATTATTTTCATTTTTTTGTTTACTACTCAATCTAAAATATGTATTTTTTTATTTTCCCCTGAAGAATACCATGTTAATAAGGATATCATAGTTTTAATTTGGTCCTGTTGAAATACACCCCTTGACAAAGTCACTAATTAAAAAAAAAATTGTAACTGACATAAAATTGTATATATCTATGGGGTCCCATGTGATGTTTGCCCACATGTGTACACTGTGCAGTATTCAAGTCAGGGTAAACATATCTATCTCTTCAACTATCATTTCATTAAACTTTCAGAAATTGTATATCCCAACCATATGGAACTTCAAAAAGGGCTCTCAATGGCCTCTATTTCTTCAGGAAGCAATTAGGCAGTTTACAACAAGATCTGGATGACTAAACTCACACCCAGGAGGATGACACATAGTTGTGTGGATGAGGGAAATGAGGGAAATGATGGGTGTCAGAAACAAGAAGCCCTGGCATACCCTAACAGAGCGAAGGCTGCCCTAGGCCCTAACAGTACCTCAAGGCGCAAGATCTGAGCTCACCTCTCCTCCCTGCAGTAGTACGCAGGTCCCCATACTAACTGGAGTATACACACCTCCATGACAATGTTGGAAAATAAAAAGTATACCCAAGCTCAGACATAGCAAACACAAGCCAGTTTTTAAAACAAGCTTCGGCTCCATTTCCATTTGGTGACAATATATGCTACAAATCTGAACTTGGGGAAAATACCTCTTTTGATTTTTCTTCTTTCGTAAATCTTCCAAATTTTTCTATCATTTCAGCCACAAAGATAACATCCATCTTGTCAGAAAAGTTGGCTGCTTCCACGGTGTAAGCCAGCAACTGCCGAGCTGTTGCCACAGCATTTGTAAGATTGAGGGGCATCTGCGAGAGGAAGGCAAAGAGCAGCACTTGGCAAGTGACCAGTAAAAGGTTGACATTTTAGCTCATCATTTCAAAAGCACGGGAATAAACTATTACTTACTCATCATAACCTTAAAACACGTTTCTCAAATTAAAGAACACTGGGATTTCAAAACAAACCAACTAGAGGACAATTTTTGTATCGTTGGAATAAAACATAATAAGACACAACACATCAGTAAACACAGTGCACTATCTCCTCCTCCCAGCTCACCCAAATTCTAGACATACCTTGGAATGCCTTTCGCAAGTACCCCAGGTACTACTGACTGACACCTCCTTGGCACTCCCACTGAACCAGAGTAGCAACCGCTATTGAGCACTTATCTTTACTGACATGCACGGCCAGTGCTGTTCTGCATTTGCTTATTTATTGACTTAAACATCAACCACTGCACAAAGGGGAAGCTGCCGCTAAGGGTCAGGGAAACAACACAGGACAAAGAGCAGAGAAGCAAAAGCGAGAGGCACATGAGTCACACAAGTGTACCAAGGAGTCACTCTGGACAAAGGGATCATAAAAGGAACTCAAGATGTGGCTTTCCATGAGGACTGCAAGGTGCTGGGATTCTGCCTGGTGGACACAGATGGCAAAGGCCCCCTATCAAAGGCACAAGGCCAGCCAGCAATGGGAAGGGAAGAAGGGCACATGGAGCATGATTCCGAGGACAGGTCAACTGAGGGCGTAACACCAGAGCATTACACTTCACTGGGGAATTTTTCAAATCACATATTAGACTGGAACACCATGTTTTATTCACAGCCTGAGTAAATACGAAGATGATCTGGTTACCTGATTAAACATATAAAGGACTCTAGTGACGTCATTTGCATACTGGCAGCGAGAATAATCATCATCTGCCCAAAAGCCACCTCTGTCACATCGGCGCCAGGCCTTTCTCTCATCCTGAGGGTTTCCAGGATAGATGCCACTGCCGTGGGTGTTCCGGGTACACTGCAGATACGCGGTAATGCCCGCCAACGTCCTGGGCCATCTAGAGAGGTGAAGACAGAATAGTCTAAGAAAACCTAGAACAACAAAGGGAACCAAGAGTAGCAACAACAGAGGAAAAACCAAGGAGAGGACACACCGTGCATCATCACAGACAAAAACCAAGAGGAGACGCAAAACTCCTTGGAGAAAAAAAAAAACAGTATACACAGACTAGCCTGTTTTAATCAATCTATTGAGTATATTTCTTTTTTTAATAATAAAAATTACTATTTTTAATACCTTTATTTTATTTATTTACTTTTATTTGGTGCTGAGTATAGGACCCAGGACCTCACTCGCACTAGGCAAGAGCTCTACTGTTGAGCCACAACCCCAGCACCTGCTAAAGATATCTCAACACCATAATAATAAAATATTTTTTTCTGAAATAAAATTGTAAAACCTTCTAGATTTTGCTATGAATAAATGGAGAAAAAAAGAAAATTGGTGCAACCGATGGTCTTATGTCTATTTAATACCATTATATAATCATAAGGCATATAGACTCTTGCCCAATAAACAGAATCTGGCCTTTTATACTTGTAGGGTTAGGATATGTGAAAAAAAAAAAAAGGTACTAGAGCAGTTCCGTGACTGCTGTCCTTAGAAAGGCCTGCTTGCAAAACTGGCTCTTCAGTTGTTGCCTGGGAACCTGAGTGACCAGCACATGCCCTTGAAGTTACCCAGTGAGTGTCGTTCACTCTGCCTAGATGGTTAGGACGAGTCCCTGCTTTCCCCTGAGGAGTCTGGAATTTTGATCCATGCTAACCAGAGGGGGCTAGTGGACCACCTGTCAGGAAAAGTCAGAGGTGCTGTGTCTCCAATGGGCCTCCTGGGCAGAAATGCTACAGAGGGATCCCTGCCTTTTCACAATTGCTGGCAGAGTGGGTCTCTGTGACCCCCTTCAGGCATAAAGCAGCAAGCCTACAGGAGACTTCTTCCAGCACCTACTTGGGTCTCTTCCCCTTCCCATCCACTCATGTGCCATAATACATTAATATTATGTATTGTATCTGTGAGTTCAGCTCTATGCTGAGTCCCTGGAGTCCTCCCAGCAATGTCTGAACACGGGTGTGGTCTTACAGACTTCAACACAGCAGACTACAGAACTCATGGAGGGAACTACTACACGCCCTGTAGACGAGGCTCAACGCCCCTGGGGGGTAGGAGAAAGCTCTGTTATTTGAGCTCTATTTCTCAAAAACTGGGAATGAACTTAAGCATCTTTAATACAAGTTGTAACCGATGCTGAACAAGGAACAACTGAATTATAATGTCAGTCACATCAAAACGGAATTCATTACCAGAAACTACATAAATAGATCAAGCAACACTAAACTAAGTCTTATTAATGCAGTGGGAGTTTAATTGTATAATATCTTAAGGAGTGTCAAAAGATAAATAATTCATTAATCAGTTAAATATTTAGATTTTTCTTCTATTTTTAAAAATGTAAAACATTCAAAAATTATGAGTAAAACATAAAATTCACCATAAACAGAAAACATCAAATTATGATTATTTAATGAAAGACGCTGAAAATAACAAAATTAATAAATGTCAAACATTTCACCTTAAAGTACACAATGTAAATATAGATCAATATTTAATGCACATAAAGACTTCTCATTGGCAATAATAAATGCTGGTTTCCATATGTCAAGAATCTTAAAAAAAAGAAAACCAAGAATGATTTTTAAAAAAACAAAATTTAAAAAGGGGAGCTATAAGATTTATTATTGCTACTTCTCCTTGGATTGGCAAGATTAACACCAAAGGGTTTTCTAACTCTTAAAATTTACAATTGCAGCCAAGAGGTGACAATAAACTCACCAGAGACCATGCCAAATTACAGTTAATCTTTATTGCTGCCTTAAAGAGTCATATATTTCCCTTTGTTCATATCAACTATAAAATCTTTAATAAAATCCCTCAAATAATATCGAGTTAATAATAGACGTAAATGTACTAAAGCAACATTGAAAGTAAGACATATCTAAGGTAAAAGTTGTTATTTCTCACATGTTCTAAACTTTCTACTAAAACAAATTAACTTGTTCAGCTCATCTTAACAGAGTCCCATAACCAACTCCTGAGATTCTAGTGGCTCCCCAATCTCAAGACTCCCCAACACCTTTCATTCCCAAAGTCCTCACCTAGCTTCCACAAGAACAAGTAGGGAGAGAAAATGAGATATGCATCTCTCCAAGCTATTGGCTCTTGAGTGGACAGCACAGCTATGAGTGAGAGACTTCACAACCCTGCCAAACCCTCAGTGTCCATCTACAATGCAGCCCTTGACAAAACCATTAGCCTAAGTTTTGTATTATCTTAACAGAATATCCAAAATATTTTCCTAAAGTCTTGGTTTTTAACTTACACAACAAAATCATTTGTTTAAAATGATTATTTTGAGAGAGAGTTAAATAAATATTATGTCTGAAATAACGTTCAGGCTTCTTTTTTTTTTCCAATCTCCATAAATAATTCTGAAATTATCATTCTAAAGCTAGTTCTTAGACATATGAGGATATATATATATATGTGTACAAATATACATTTCTCAAATTCTGTTTCTTAGAATAGAGTCCAATTATGTACCTTTGAGAATAAAAAGACTTAGGACAAATCAAGACTTGTGAAGTACTTTCCGTGTCACTGACCTGAAATCACCTTTATTATTCACCACCCTCTCCGGAGGACAGTACTGTGCGGAGCTTTCTAAGACCACAATATCGACAGTTCTTGTGTTGTTCCCGCGTTTGCTCTGGACATGACAGCCCCAATTTCCAGTAGATCCAGCCTGAATATTAGAAATGGTTAGGGCACTGCATGGGGGAAAAAAAAAAAAGATTTTAAAAATAGAGAAAATATGGTTAGGCAGTGAGAGACAGATTGTGGGCTTCAATCAGTCACCTAGCAAAGGTAACTGAACGCACACTTGAGCCAAGCACTTGCTAGATAAAAACAAATAAAGAAACAGCACTCCCCCCAATTTAAGTCCCTCAGTGGCAAGTCAAAATACCCAAGGGAACAGATTCCTAAAACAGGAGGTTGGGGCAGTGACAGGAGTATGTACAGAGTGCAGTGGTCACGATGCTGAAGGCCCCTCCTTCCGGCCTAGGGAAGGGAAAGGAGTCAAGAGCCCAAAGGCCAAAATAGCGCTGTACTTCCTCAGCCAACATAAGGCTTCCAAGTCACACCTACCTTCTCAGAGATTCTCAAAAAGAATCCTGAGCAAAAATACTCAAGCATGAAGGAAGGACAGTACTATGTGAATTATGAAATCAAGAAAATACTAAAGGTAGGGTTGGGGTTGGGGCACAGCAGTAAGGCACTTGCCTTGCACATGTGAGGTCCTGGGTCAATCCTCAGCATCACGTAAAAATTATTAAAATAAAGGTATTGTGTTCAACTACAACTTAAAAACTAATATTTAAAAAAAGAAAGAAAATACTAAAGGTAAATTATTCTACAGAAGAAGGATTACCCTGAAAACAACCATTTAATCTCTAAAAAGATTCAGTGAATGAACAACTGATGTGTTCATAAGGTGGATTCCATGTAAAGGTATATTTCTGTTTATAAGACAGATGTATTTCTTTTCATTTTACTTGAGACTGGGTTTTTCTGAGTTGCCCAAGCTTTTCTTAAACTAAAAATTCTTCCACCTTGACCTCTGTAATATCAAGAATTATAAGTGTGGCCCACCATGCCCGGTTAAACACCTATATTTCCAAATAACTGTCAGGAAATCCCATTTTCTAGATGAAATTGTAATTCTCTAATATAAAACCTATTAATCAAAGAGCAAATGTCAGAACCTTCAATTAACCTTTACCAACCCGCATGACCCACTCTACTTTGCTGTTATGTAGACACAAATGATAAAACTTAAAACATATAGCATTTAGCATTTTAATTAACTTATAAAAGTATGTCTTTCAGTTAAGATACATTTGTCTGGTCTCCTAAACCATTGATCTCTGCAGAAAATGTTCTTATAAAGACTCCAAGGCACTGTCCTATTCTGATTTATCAAATATGTTTATTATCTTTAAAAATATGGAAAAGAAGTCAATAACTATAATAAACATTTTCAAGATCAAGTGAAAGAAAAGTCTGACATTAAATTTAAATAACCATAAAGTCTGCAAACATTCTATTTTACATGGCTATGCTCAACTAAGAAAATGTATATAGAAAGTTTGTCAGTGAAAATCATTCTTGATCCAGAGGCTTCCAAACTTCCTCAGTTTGGGGTGAAAAAAAATCCAAGACTGTCTCTTTAACAATTTAGTAGCTACTTGAAAATAATTTAGTAGTTATTGAAAAAACATTAATTTAGTAGCTATTTGAAAAAACAACACATAAATTTGAAATTGAATTTTTATTTCACTCTTACATAACCACAACTTCCTGACAGAATATGAGTGCCTACTGCATACTCAGAAAATAAATAAATAAAATTCAAATCTCGGATTCATAAAGGCAGTGGCACCCCTATATCCTGTTCCACAATAATTTTCACACAGTACTCATTTTGGACCATGGCAACTGCCAAAAAAATCCCACATCTCAAAATGTGACTCCAACAAAAGGAGCACAGTAATGATATGAATCTGACTCTGCACATGGAGGGGGTTCAGGGCTGAGTGCTGTCCATCAAATGTCAAGCTCAGAAATTCAGTATGCACTCCTCCAACACCACAAATGCTTGCAGATCTTCCATGGATTCAGTGTGGTGTCCCCAGGCACATGAACAACTGGCTTTGGGAACTGTAGTCATAAAACAAAGATGTTTGTGGACAGCATTTAGCAATACCTCAGTGTCTGAACGCAATTACTGGGCCAGGCGCAGTGGCACACACCTGTAATTCCAGCAGCTCTGGAGGCTGAGGCAGGAGGATCATGAGGTCAAAGCTAGTCTCAGCAAAAGAGAGGTACTAAGAAACTCAGTGAGACCTTGTCTCTAAATAAAACACAAAATAGGACTGGTGATGTGGCTCAGTGGTCAAGTGCCCCTGAGTTCAATCCCTGGTACCCCCCCTCAAAATTAAAAACAATAAAAAATAAATAAAGACAATCACTGGGATAAAATCTCCAGGACTCCTCCAGGAAACAGATTCAGAGATTTAAGGAAATTTAGGAAGAAAAATAACTTCAATTTCATCTTCTAAGAGAACTACAACCATGAATTCTTACTGATTAGATGGATCGATGACATGAAGAAACCAATGAAAAATCAATAGATAGCTCCCTCCGATTTAAAAGTTACATACTTCTGTCTCCTGAAACTTCTTTTATTATTCTGGGCTAAGTCTAGGTAAAGAACTTTGCAGTCTTCACAAGATTTTCACTTTAGTCAAAAGTTTCTACCAACAACATTATTATAAAAATAGCTGAGTTGCTATCCTTAGAAATTGTTTTTGTACTACTATAAAGAATTTACAATAATTTAAGCATAACCTGCAGATTATTATTAGATTTATAAAGTAAATTTAATTGCTTTATAGTCACAACTGTGACTATAAATTAAATCAAAATTCTTTTATATAGAACAAAGTCTAGCTTGTTTTTCAAGACTGATTGGTGTACTGTATATCAATTATTGTCTATACCATAAACTGCTTAAGAGTGTACAATCTTATGAATTTTGACATATGTACATGCCTGGGAAATTAATAGCACAGTAAAAATAGTATAACATGAATATATCATCTCTATCAATTTTATCCCCTAATAATGGAATTCTGCTTCTGGGGATGGTTGAATAGCCCATACTAAACTACACTTCCTATAATTAATACTCAAACTCTGAACAAATAATAAAAATAACAACTATCTGAACACATGACCAGTGATCAAAAGCAAGCAGAAAATGTAGAGGAGCTGATATTAGGAAGAATGGATTAGTACTGGAGAGGAACCAAAAAACTTTTTATTTATTCCCCAGCCCCACATTTATTTATCAGTGCATTATAGTGGTACATACTGATGGGATTTGTTGTTACATGTGTACATGCACACATATGTAACAATATGATTTGGCCAATATTATTCCACAGCGCTTCCCTTCTCCCTCCCCACCTCTTGATCCTTTTCCTCTACTGATCTCCCTTCCCAGAAACCTTTTAAATGTGCACACCACCCCTCGCCCCCAACAAAGGGCAGGCCCCACTCAAACAGACCACAATCTTAGTGACTTAAAAAACAGAGTGGGGAGAGACAGAAGGAGGGAGGAAATAGCCTGTCTAGAAACGTAAACTTCCAAGGATGCAAATCCACCCATATCTGTTACTGACCTGTGGGTATATACACAGGTAGGACAGACACCAAGATTTCAGTTGCCACCTACCAGAGTTTGAGTTTAGCAAAGCTATTGCCTGACCAAACAAAAATGAACTCTTCTCAGAAAAATGAAATGGAACCCAGAGTTAGGAGTCAGCAAACTTTTTCTTCACAGGCCAGAGAGTAAATATTTTAGAATTTGTTGGCTAAGAAGCAATATCCAGGATACTATAGAAGTATTGTTCAGGATATAATCCAAAATTATCACTAGACAAATAAATTATATCTTTGAAATATAGGAAAATACAGACCATATTCTAAAGAAAAACAGTAATGATGATTCAGTTGTTAAAAGTGGCAGACATTAGAAGGAAAAGAAAAAAAACCCCAAAACGAGAATTAAGACATAAATGAAAATATGATTGTAGTACATAAAGAAGTTCCAAGAAAGGAATTATAAACTAGAAAAGTTGACCTCAAAATTTATCTGACTTGAATCAACTCAAGAGAACCTGTACTTTCTCAGCAATTTTCTTATGGCATCTATGCCCTCGCAGAGTTTGGAAGCTATAGCTCTACTAGAATAAAAATTCAACCAGGAAGAAGGGAGAGAAGGAAGGAGGGGGAAAATTCAATGTCTACAAGTAAAGATCTCACCAAAATAAAATAACTGATGGGTGATAACATCACATATATTGTAAGCCTTTTTTATAAAGCTCAAATTAACTATTTTGGTGCTCATACCAACCATGGGGTTGACAGTTCAGATAGCATATTCTTTTATACCAGTAGGTAGAGAGAAGTATCTTAAAATATAGTATTAATCATGAGACAAAACAGTGAAAATCAGATAATTCTTCCAAGTAAAAATAAAAGCTTAGTAGCAGGAAATAGTTAAGAAAATAAGGTTTGGCACAAAAAGTGTATATATTTCTTCTGAAGGCTTTAAGTGAAAAAAATTTCCAGCTTTTTAAGTGTTTCTCTTTTATAGAGTTTCTTCCAAAAGTGGATGGGAAGACGTCTATTTAATTTTAAAAGAGGAATAATAGTTCAGAGAACAAATGCAAAATGTCTGCATTTTCCAATGCAAGATGATAAAATATTAATCTGCATTTCCAACTAAACATGGCAACTCCAAAAGGGTAAATAAAATCCAGAGATGAATCTTCCTCTAAAAAAAAAAAAAAAAATTTACCTTGCAATCAAGGAGCAGTTGTGAATCATGTTCTTTTCAACAAAGATGCCTTGGGATTCATCAGTTTCAACTATTCGCCCGTCCTGATACCACAGCACTTGCATGTCCTGGTCAATGTATGAAGCCATGCACTGGAAGGGAAGGCTGTCTCCTTCAAATACAACTTGCCGATGTGATGGAGTCATATAAAATGAGGGTAGTTCAAGGGGCGGATCTGGAGAGAGTAAAACAAGGACCTGGTAAACAATTATAACAGAAAACAATGACCATCCCTCAGTAATCACCTTGCTCCTAGGGATGGCAGCTATTGAGCTGAGTGGTGCTCTGGTTTGGGTGTGCTCCCCAAGGGCTCGCGTGTATTGGATGCTTGGTCCCTGGTTCAGCAAGGTGAAAGGTGATGCAAGCGGGGGGTTCTCAGGTCACTGGGGCACCTGTCCTCAGAAGCCATGCTGGTCTCTTAGAGCAACCAAGCATCTTCTTCTCCAAAGAGCAAGTTGCTAGAACAGCCTGAGCTTGCCCCCTAAATTGCTCTCAGGTGCTATCTTGAAATGAAACCTTCTGCTCCCACACATTCACCTGTCATGCCATCTGCCACAAGCCCCTCACCAGAGGCCAACCCAATGGGCCTTCCCAATTTTGAAATTTAAGTTTCGGAAAAGAAACTTAAGAGTTTCTCTTTCATTTATGTCTTATTTCTCGTTTTTGGGGGGGGGGATTTTTTTCTTTTCCTTCTAAATGAATCTCTTTTTTAATGAAGTTCAGGTTTTCTGTAATAGTAACAAAACACAGACTAAGAAAAGTGGCTCACAGGTGCAAAAAAATGAAGTAAAATTAAAAGGAAACCAATACATACTCAAGTTCTAATATTTATACTGTTTTCCTCTTAGGTATTATAAAACTATCAGATGATCACTGAAGCAAGAGAAAAGAAAAAAAAGTAAAACTTAAGTCCAGAGGATGAAACTAGGGATAAGTAGATGCTGAAACAATTTTAAAATACATTTGAACATTATATTACCTTTGATTAAAACACTGGTTTCTGGCTGTAAGAGTAATGCACATTCACCATGGAAAATTTAGAACATTTAAGGAAAAATGTCTTTTAAAATCCCATATTTTATGATCGTTTTTTGAAAAATGATATATTTCCTTCCAGTCAGAAAAATGAAAGGAAAAGATTTTAAATATGTTTGTGAAAATGTACACTAACAGCATTAGTTCATTAAAAGCCTTTAAAATGTTAGTTCATTTGTTTAACACAATTCTAACAGTGTATATCCTAAAGAGTAATTGCAAATATACAAAAAATATATTCAAAGACATTAATCACTGCATTATTTATGGATTGAGAAAACAACAAGTTAAATATGCAGTAATAGGAAGCTATTAAATTATGGCTACCTCTGTACAATGCATTAGAATGCATCTATTTTATACAATAAGGAGGTAAGTTTACATTATTTCAATTTTTGAAAAGCTAGAAAAATGTCATTAGAGAATATTTTTGTCAAAACACAGGAGTCCTGCTTCTTAGGCTGAGGAAGAGGCTCAGTGGTGACTCCCTGGTATGATCCCCAGCACTGCAAACCAACCAACCAAACAAAATAAAGGGAAAAGGTGCAGAAGATAACACACCAACGTCTCAACACTCGCTATCTTCCAGTGGTAAGAATGTACACAGGGGTTTTGATTTTTCTTAATTTTTTTGTTTCTTCCCATAAATCTTAATTTTCAATGAGCATATTTTACTTGTTAAATAACAAAAATAATGATAATAAAGAGAAAAAGAATGGCATGATTTTTTTCTTTTCAAACACAAAGACTGGGCTGGCATCTAACTGTATTATTATAGGAATTACTGTGGGTTTATGGGTTGTTCTCATCCCCCCCACCAACTCCACTTAGTACATGGTAAATGTGTTATTTCTCTCATGTTTTCAGATATTCAATAGGAACATATTACCTCACTGAATGAACATGTCAAAAGTAATTAAACTATTCCTCTATTTTTTTTTGAGAACTTAGGATGTAATTTATAGTCTTGATTATTTACATACACAGGTGATCATTTCCTAAGTATTAGTAAGACATAAAATTATAAAATCTAATTGCACTGCATTACTAGTTTAGGGACACTGACACTTGGCTGAACTATAGAAACTTTAAAAAGCACTGTGCCACAGGGTGCGGGTACAGTTCAGTGGGTAGAGCCCCTGTCTATCATGCAGGATGTACTGGGTTTGAGGTATAGCACCACAAAAGAAAAAAAAAAAAAAAATCAAAAAAGGTTCCATCATGTCACACTCCTACCAACAAACAATATGTGGACATCCTGAAACTTCCTGGTCTGCCAATGCAAAGTGTGAATTATCTACACTATTTTTTAAATCACTTTTCATAAAGAAAACTTTTCAGAACCTAAGAGCCGTTAACTTAAAGACCAATTGAAAAAGTAATGCTCTCTAATCCAGCTGGCTTACTTGCTGGCATAAACCCAATATTATCAAATCCTCAAAGATTAATGATTGTACTTCAGTTCCATCAAAAGAATTTTACAGTTTGTCAAGAAAAACATGGTAGCAAGTCAAAACACAGTAAATGCTTTCTCAGTTTTGATTTCTCCCTTACCGCATGTCAATAGCTCCTGCTTCACTCCTGTGACTGGCTGGGCCTGCAGTGACTTAGGATAAACACACCTGGTGTCCCGAACAGTGATGTTCCTCTCCTTTACCCAGCGATGCATCCACAATATGTTGCAGTCACACAAAAGATACTCTGTCTGAAATTCTCTGTAAAATACAATTTGGAGATTATCGTGAAAAAAAAAAAAAAATGAAATGGCACCATGCTTTACCTTGGTTTGCTTCTTTGCCAGAAAGCACAATACTTCTACTATGCCTCTAGCATATACCACTCACTAGTTACGGTCATCTTTCCAAGGACCTGCCTCCAATACTGTCCCCCACTGACTTGGAACTCTGCTTTTGAAAGAAGTTAGAATGTAAAGAAAAACTATCTGCCAGACATCCTCATCCACGCAACAAGCCCCACAGCTCCAGAGTTCAATACCAAGGCCCCATCCTTTTTGTCTACCAAGCCTCTAGGAATTTGGCAATAATTTTGGATCTTGAAGCCTTTCCCCACTTTTTCAGTATATTCATGGCTGAAAGGTCTAACTGCTTACAGTCTCCCCTGTTGATTTTGGCAATGAAATAGCATCATAAAGTAATATAGGAATGTTCTATGTGGTTGTATTCTTTTTTAAAATATTTTTTTAGTTGTAGATGAACACAATACTTTTATTTTATTTATTTATTTTTATGTGGTACTGAGCACCGAACCCAGTGTCTCACACATGCTGAGCCACAACCCCAGCCCTCAGTGTGCCTAAATTCTTTGATGTCTGACTAGATTGTACATTCAAGGATAGAGACTACTTCTGACCTTTCCTTCTCCTCCTATGCAACAAGTGACACCATGGCTTAAAAGATAAAGACTCATCAAATCACAAATAGGAAAATAAGAATACTTCACAACTGGACTGGGGAATGTAGCTCAGTGGAAGAGCATTTTCCCAGAATGCCTGAAGCCCTGGGTTTGATCCCCAGCACCACCAAAACTAAATAAATAAATAATACTCCATATTTGATATGAAAGAAAACAGAGAATTATCTTTATATGAGGCAGAAAAAGCGTCGTAATTTGAGGTCGGATGAAATACCCAAAGAAAGGGTACATATACAAAGCGTGGACACAAGCACAATAACCTGCAGGCACTCCTTTTGCTAAGCCCTGACTATTCATATGCCATATGCATCCAGCTAAGAAAAAACTACAAGATGCTGCCCCTGCCAGCATGGAGAATAGAACAGGAAGAACAAAACATACCAAGATAGAACGGAACATGCCTGATAAAAATAAACCAACCAGGTGCAAACAGCAAGCCTAAGTGTGCATGCTTCTAACAGGGTGTTAGCACAGGGGGAAAAAACGGAAAAAAGGGACATGATGAAACAAAGCCAAGGGAAGACAATGACAGAAGACCTGGCTGGCTTCTAATTCTGAAGCTCCACCTTCTGGTCAGTTCAGTTCCTAACACCGCTGAGTACAAACACTGCGATGTTTCCCAGTTCTGGGCTGGAAATACTTGCCACATTCCAGCTGCTCAAAAATCTCAGAAGGCAGATTATCCTTTGCCATCTTCCTTGCTTCTACCCATCCATCCCCTCTCCTTCCTTCCTCTTTCTTTTTCCTTTTTAAATTTTTCCCCACGGTACCGGGGATGGAACGCAGGTCCTCATACATGCTAGGCAAGCACTCCATCACTGAGCTACATCCCCTGCCTTTTATTTCATTTTGAGACAGTGTCTCCCCAATTGGCACAGGCTGGCCTCAAGCTTATAATCTTTCTGCCTCAGTCTCCCAAAAGCTGAGAGTATATATAGGCATGTGCCGCTGCATCCAGCTTGCAATCTTATTTCCTAAATTTCAGAGTGGGCTGAGATACGGTTCAGGGGTAGAGTGCTCGCCTAGCCTGCTCCAGGTCCTTGATTCCATCCTAGCACTGCAACAAACAAAACAATCAGAGAAACAGCTGACTTGAGCCCACTAAGTGTGTCAAAAGGTCGAAAGGAGCTATTTTCACACATAGGCAGCCCTCTGGATAAGAACAGTTGTGGCAAGAAGACCAGATAAGAGTGACCTGAGGGGACTTTAGTGCATACATCTCCTGCAGGATGGTAATAAGCTGGAACCCACTGGCTACATCCAATGGCAACTGCTACATGAGACTCTAATGACAGGTTCAGAAAAGGAAAGGGGCTGGGGCAGAGCTCAGGGGTAGAACACTGGCCCAACACACTCAAGCTCTGGGTTCAGTCCCTAGCACTACAAAAAAGATGAGGACGATGAAGATAAGGGGGGAGGGGCTGGGAAGAAAGAGAGAACTCAGCACATACTAAACAGAGGCATCTGGCAGGGAAGAATTTTTTCCCCTAGAAAAAGATTCAATTCCATATATTACAGACAATGAAAATTTTAAAAACAACAAACTGAAGTATAATTCCAACAGGAATTAGTGTAACATAATTTAGGATAGATTAAGATTTATCTTGATATACATTTACTTTCAAAATAACTCTTGTGCAATCTCTCAGTTAACAAAATTGCATCCGAGGGGGGAAAAAAAAATGAACCAATTCTAAAGCGACAGAGAACTGTATGAAGCTCTTACATTGACTTCATAAAGCAAGTCTTCTCAATAAACACCCCTAGAAACATTAGTAATAAATTGTAGATTCAATGTACAGCAGGGATGGCAGGATAAAACTGAATCCTTACGGTATAAAATACCCGGCAACAAAGTCTTCGTAGGAAGGAATAGTTTATACTTTGAGGATTTAATTAGTCAAACCACAAAAACATTTCCTGATTTGAAAAGGCAGAAAGAAACAATTACCCATTTATTTACTCTGAATATAGATTTCACAGATACGGTATTGTGAGGAAAAACTAGCCATTCCAGTCTGAAATGCATTCCTGAGATTTACTGTATGCTTTTCCATGTTAACGCAGGCCCTCAAGTAAGAGCCTAATTTTTGAAAATTCACAAGATATTGCTTATGAAATATCTTTGACCACATAATAAGTGATATTAATTTTCAAAAATTAACACGTTAAACAGGACAAAGAATTCTTACTTACAAGGATCGTAATGAGCCAAGATAATCAAAAGTTCCTTGAGAAAGTGAAGAAAACAAATTCCCTGAAAGATTCCTGTGGGGAAAAAATAATAATTTCACTTTTAAAAACACTGGTACATACCTAAATGAATCCCACCATCATATACTCCCACAAGAATGGAGACCTAATTAGAATAAGACATATTCCATGTTCATATAATTTTATCAAAATGGATTCTATTTTCAATGTATAACTAAGAAGAACCAATAAATAAATAAATAGGCATGTATCATTTTTTTACTATTTTTAACTTTTAGAAATATTCTATGGTCATTACATAATATTATCAAGAACTCGTGAAAGTTGTTTTAACTCTTACAAAGGGGGAGCTACTAGTAAATATTTCCTCTGAGGTTGAAGAAATCATTCTTAACATTTAATATGAACTAGTAAACAAATTTTTAAAAAATGGACTAATGCTAGATAAGGATTTTATCTGTCTACCTTTTTCTAAAAGGTATACTAAATTCCCACTGGAATTACTCTTCATGTGTTCACTCAGCATTATTTAAGGAAAGCAGCAAAGAGAACGATAAAAATAAATAAGAAATCACAAGAATTAAATTTTAGCAGCAAGAAGAGGTAAAGAACCATGATCAGCAGCAGCAACACACCCTCACTGGTGGAAACAAGAACAGAATGCCCAGAGCCCAGGAGCTAAGGGAGACTCGGAATACACTGCAAGGCTGGGCTTGGGCAAATTACCTGACCTCTAGTACCCCACATCAGGTAGCTTAATAACCTAACCCTGTGGAGTTTCACATGAATTAAACTCCTGAATCCAATGCTCCAGTCTTGAGTGCTTTGCTACATCCACTTGACTGAACAGGGTATTTCTTCCAAACCTGACCATGAATTCAGGGGCTGAAGCAGAGAGCATGTTGCTTGGGTGCCTCTGGCAGCTAGAAACAGGGAGGGGCAGATAGGAATCATGGTGGGGGCCTACTTAAGATGCTCACCTGACCCTCACGTGCCTATAACATTAAAATGGGACAGAGGGCTCTAGGAAATGGCAGCATGATCAACCTCTACCTCCCCCTAGGATCTGTTAGATGCCTGTTGCAGCATCAAGAATGGACAGAATTCAGAACCAGTGTTCTCAAGAATCAAGTTGAGGGCACAGCAGGGCAAAGAGCTCCTCCAGGGTCCAGGCTGAAACCTTCAGATGAGGGACAGTGTGACACTCATGCAGATGGAGAACCTAGTGTGGAGAGGGAAGGGTGACGGGGGCAGTGACAGCTCCTGCTTGTATACATGCCTTTAGGGCTTTCTTTTTTTAAAATAAAAAAAGTTCAGATAAGATGCATTTAAAAAAACCCTATGCATGTGCTTCTATATCTGTGGGGTCAACAAAAAGAAAATATGAAAGTATATATATCAGATCACTAACAGAAGCTAACTTGGGGAGATATGACTAAAACAATGGAGTATTTGTTTTACCTTCATCTCTCCATATGATTTTATTATTCACTAACATCCAAGTTATTCTATTCCAAACAATTACTAGAAGTCATGTTTTGTGTTTAGATTTGGGTACCACCCCCAAGATACCTCACTAGGTGTAACGAATATTCCAAAATCCAGAAAAAAAAAATTAAAATCTGAAATGCGCTGTTCCTAAGCATCTTGGATAAGTGCTCCTCCACCTGCATTATACTCTGAAGACACTGCCTTTCCATGACTAAACCGTGAGCTCCCTGGTCCCTTATTGCCTCTACAACCTTGCAGTTGCTACTTCAAGATGGAACACATCATAGTTGCTCATAAACATTTGGGTACTGGTTCAAATGCCTCCTTATATTTTAATAGGAAAGAAAAGGTACTTACAGCCGAACCAGATTGGTAAGTCCTCGAAATATGTCTGCATTTAGACATCCTATCCGATTGTTTGTCAGGTCCCTGAGGAGAGAGGCGGGGGAAAGTGTCTTCAATTAGTTCTCTCCATTTATAAAGATCTCACAGCTCCTATACTGGAGAACACCACCCAGGTATCATGAAAGACCTTTCTTTTCTGCATCTTTGGGATATTTACCCACCTCAATTGAGATAATGATTCCTGCTTGCAGAAAATGATTCCTGCTTGCATTTACATCTGGCATACAAGATTAAATGCTACTTAATTACATTCTAAGCATTTATTCCTACCAAAATACTGAAGATAAACCTGGAATAGTAGACACGAGACTCCATCTATCTTACTGCCTGGGATACAATTCCTTAGATGATCTACACAGCTAAATTACACTGGGCACTCTCAACCAGCAAATAAGAGACAATGGGGAAAAGGATAAATTATCAAAATGATGAAACTTTTATTTCCTCACAAACACTTGAAACTCAATGCTTTCTAACTTCATTCCTTAAAATACTCAAAAAACTTCCGACTGTAATTAAAAACTGAATTAATTTTACTTTAAAGGTCTATCATTTAGTCTCAAGCCAAATTAACAATATCTAGGTAATGATCTAATTACTTTTTACAGTCAGTCCTAAATTCAACGTCCTAACGAATGTTATTTTTCTAAATATTTTTTCTTCTCCTCAATCTAGGAAATGTTTTCCCTTTTCATTTATGCAGAATTTTTAGTTAGTATTGGGGTTCTTTCTCTACTGACTGTACTTCACACTATGGATCACAAATACAATTTTAATTTTACATTTAATCAGAGACCCACCCTGGCTGTAAGTGAAAAGTTTATGTTGGGAGATAACAACTGACATGTCCCACAACTTTCAACTAGAACGGTGTGCCTTTCGTCCCAGTTCATCAGTGAACACGGGGAATGCTGCAAGAAACCTCCACAACAACAAACGTTGATTATTATTAGTTGTTAGGCTGTGAATAATTCAAGACACTTCAAATTTCAATGAAAGAATTAGAACAAGCTCTCTAAACAAAACTTTTTGAGAATTACTTTTATCATGTTTTCTTCGATGTACATAACCCTTCTCTGTCACGGGAAGTACACTGTCTTTGGGTTACTCTAGGAAAGTGATTGGAAGTACCCATTTCCAACAGAAAACCTTCAGATCCCAAACTGTACACTTGGTAATGGCAGAAGATGTATTAGTTTGACGTAAACTGTGAGAACGTAGCATTTGAAGCAGGTACCTACTCATTCAGTTTTTCCCTGGGGTATTCAAAAGCTGCCTTAAATAATCCTGGTGGGCAACAGTTTCATAGTGCCCTCCTCTAAGGCAACGTTAGCTAAAAGACCTCAAGCAATACACACCTTCATCTGTGCTTTTTGTACAGCTCAGGCTCTTCATGGGGGCAGGGGGCTTTTAAAAAAAAATTTATTCCAATAGATTTTCCTCCGATTTCTGTTTTCCCATTTTAAAAAAGTAAGCACCATCTCATGAACTGTTGCTTAAACAAGCACTTCTGGGTTCTACTCATGACCTTGTCTTACTTCTAAGTAAATGGTATAATCACCATTGATTCTTTAGGAAACAATTTCATTACAGCCATGTCTACTTAAAATAGAATTTAGGTATTAATAACATATGGCTTTCATTTGGGTTGAGGATTCAGCCTGAATTTATTGATAAAGAAAAATTGAATGACTAGGTTTCACCTACTTCTGGAAGTTTATTTTCAGAAAACCACTTCATCTTCCTGATTCAAGTTACCTATAAACTAAAGGCAAAGGCTTGAGACGCTTATGAAAGACCTATGTATGGCTGTGGAGGAGGATGCTCAACTGAATGATGTAAGGCCTCATAAGAAAAGGTACCTATGTATATCCACAAGCAACCATCAAACACCACTGCAGAATATCCACATCCACCAAGCCTACATAGGACCCCTTCAGCTTGCCCACTGTGGACCCGAGGGACCCTTCAATTATAAGTCAGCTATTAGACTTAAGAATGTATTTTGTGGTGAGAAGAGCATTATACATGGCAATTACCTTCCTAAGCAAGAACACAACAGACAACTTCATGTGTAATGCTATGAAAAATGCTAAGGTGATGCCCACTACACTACCAGTCATTAAATTTATTTTAGGTAGTAGTCCTAGAGAAATTATTTACGACAAAGTACTAGATGGTGAACCTAAGGTATTCTACAACACCCCCAATGAAACTAATTCTTCTAACAAATAGTCAAGTATCCTTCAACCTCTCTATCAGCAGCATTAACCTTTCTATCACCAGCAGAGCTGTGAATACAGTGGTGTGCACTCACAGACGGAAGGAAGAGTAAGTGATCCTATCTGACAATATGATGTCACGTTCTCTCCTAGATGTTAAAGGAAAGAATATTCTAGAAGGTCTAAAAGCATTAGAATCACTAGGAAGGACAACTGAAACAATGATCAACTTCAGCTCCACCATTTCAGACAGGGCAGGTCAGGCCTCTACCTGAGGATTCGGTTCCTCAGCACAGGAACCAAGTGGCTCAGCATGGCAAGAAGATCAAAGGAAGGACCTGGCCTCCCTGCTGTCCCCTCTCTCTCCAGGGACTCTATCTGGTTGTGTCACCTATTCAGGACCATGCTCGGCACCCCTGCCTGCATCTATATGATGGAGTCTTCATAACCCCCAAGACACCTGCTCAGCCTTTGTGCATAGATGCCATGTCCACATCCACGCTCTGGTTTCTTATGATTCCACTACACTCCCTGACTCACCCATAGGTGAGTGCAAAAGATGGACTTGGTGAATTTTTGTTGAACTCAACTCACCTGGATCCCTGCCTTGCCACAGCCTTGGTGACGCTGCTGTACCTGGCTGATACTACTTTTACTGAGTTCCATACATAGCTTGACCTGCTACCATGTTGATGCCCACCTAGTGTCCAGTGCTATTCACATTCTAACCCTGGTCTCTGGTAACAACAATGACCTACCCTAGACAGGCCAGGCCAATTTTTTACTGGTTTCATTAAAAAGCCTTAAGTACAAAATAATACAAGTACAGAATGAATAGAAAATAAGAAAACTGGTAGCAATCCCTCCTTCAGACTTCCTTGGGCTTCTACTTAGAGTAGGCAAAGGCAGATACAAACAATGAGCCACTACTCACCCCAATAAGAGCTATGGTAATAAAAGCTCCCCACTACAGGCCTGATTAAAATTTAAATAATTTTGCAGGCTGAAAAGAAATCCTTTAACTCCTGCTACTGTTAATCTTACAGAATCCCAAACAAGACTGCCAAACAGAGAGAAAAGGGGGGAAGCTATATCTGTCTTAATTGAAAGATATCTTATTTGCATAAGTAGTAATTTGGGGGCTATAGCTATAGCTCAGTGCATAGCTCTTGCCTAGCATGCAGAAGGCCCTAGGATTCTGCTGAGAGCCACAGCCGAGTCTGTATGGCTCCTGGGCATTTTGCCAACAGTATTGATTGACAGGCAAGGCATTAATATCGCCTCTACCGCTACTTTTGAGTTCTAGCGCTATTTCGGACTTCTTGAGCTATTTTGGAGTTCTCATAGGGATTTCCGGGGAATCCCCAGGAGTTCCCATTGGTTGGCGAAGTGCAAGAGGAGGGAGTTCCCATTGGTTGGCGAAGTGCAAGAGGAGGGATTTCCCGGAGAGCTATTTCCAGCTGGGGGTTCCTGCAGGAGCCGTGTGGCTTTCGGGAGGATTCCTCAGGAGCGTGTGTGAGGTTTTTTCTTGCAGTTCAAAAATAAAGTTTGTTCCTGCTTCAGTGGCTCGTGATTTGTGCCCAGCCAGACTGCGGCAGGGTTCAATCTCCATGTCCACACACACACACACAAAGTAGTAATTAAAAAAAAAAATAGCACAAGAATGATTTTGAGGTGATGGCAACTGAGAAGAAACATAAGAACAAAACATACAAGGAAAGTCTTTGTGTTCTCCTTGTTCGACTAAAAGCAGGACATAAGTTTGCAAAGGTGTCCCTCCACCTCCTCTAGGAAGGACAAACCCTGGCCTCTAGAGGGTTCTGGAGCCTTATCAGCCTAGGAAGCACCAGAGGGCTCTATACAGCAAACATTACTAATTAGACTTTATCTACTATTCATTTCCCATTTATTTGCCTTCTCACAAATTGCTGCCCCTAGATACTCAAGGTGCTTATCCTTTGTCCTGTTACTTCTCTAAAACTGTGTTGCTCCCTGCTGAAGATGTTCCATCCATCAGTTCTGAACCAACCCTTTGACACACTCTTTTCCTGGGTTTTCTCCCTTGTGTATAAGGAAATACACATGCTAATAAACCTCTGTTTTTCTCTTATGAGTCTTTGTTAGATGAGTCCGAGATGAGAACTTACAAAGTAGAGAAGAAAAGGTCATTGTTCTTCCCCTACACTATATATTCTCTCTCAAGAGTCTGACAGCTTTTCTGGAGAAGTCAGAATCTGAGAAGCAGCTAGTGAACAACTGTTTTTGGAAGAAATGGAGGATGGCAGGACAGTCTCAGCAGTCACACCTCAAAAGTGAGCAACTACAAAAAGAACCCAAAGAAGGAAGGGGCTGTTTAGGTTTGGAAGTTACAACAACTAGACTTTAGAATCTGAAATAATAACACATAGATTAAAAAACATACATAAAATCCGCAACATTTCACATCATTATAGAAAGGCGCCTTGATTTACAGACAGTTTGAACAGAGTCATAACTTAAAATTCATCTATAGATTATGTCAACCCGCAGAGAGGCCACATTAATGATTTTATTAGCATACAGAAGACACAACTACCTACCACCAAACACATCACACCTGTGCAAATTAACCTCCTCCTAAGCTACACATATTAAATACTATCTGTTCTTTGATCGGGGACCTGGCCAGGTGAGCCTCTAGAAATTACTTATCATTTACTTTCTATCATGGTAAAGTCAGTTAATAGCTGCTTATGAGATACACAACTCTGAACTCATAAGTGAGCAATTCAAATACTCACAATCTTTTTAGTGATGACAGTCCCCAAAAGGCACCTGGATCTATACTGCTTATCAGATTGTTCCGGAGGTCCCTGTGAAAAACAAAATAAATGTAACTCACAGATCGACACTGTCAAAAATATTCAGGCGACTACACTTACCTGCTGCACAGAAAGCAACACTAACAGCAGTGACATGAGGAAATGGAAGCCAGAAACATTAAGCCAAGTGACAGTAGTGACAGTGAGAATTCAAATTTGAAAAACCTGGCTCCAAAGCCTTTTGTTTCAGTCAACACAGGAAGAAAGGCATATGTCTTAACAGGGACATGGTCCTCCCATTATTCAAATCTAAATCATCACTAAACTATAACCATAAACAATTTTTTCTTAGTATGCTCTAATTTGGTTATCAAAGTTCACTAGTTACTGGATTTATGACAAACATCATTGAGGTTTTTTTTTTTTTTTTTTTTTTTTTTTTTTTTTACAATGTGTTTAAAAATACCCAATCCAAAATTCATGTCACTTAGCTCTTCATACTTATTTTCTTCTTGGGCTTCCATAGTTAGGTTTTCTGTAAAGTAAAGATACAAAAAAAAATATGCAATAAATCACGATATGTAAAGCTGGGCACAGTGGCGCAAACCTGGAATCCCAGCTCCTCATGAGTGTGAGGTGGGTCACCACCTTGACTGAGGCCAGCCTGGGCAACTCAGCAAGACTGTCTCAAAATAAATTTTTAGAAGGACTGGGGAGATAACTCAGAGGTAGAATACTCCTGGGTTCATTTCCCAATATGAAAAACAAAAAAGAGGAATAAGTAAAAATCACACTATGTAGCTCAAAACAAAGATGCAGAAGGCCTTATCTCCTGGGCACCCACAGCAGCCACAGTTGACACACTCATCCTTCTCAAGCACACTACTGCACACCCATGCCAGGCCCTACCACTGGGGGCATCAGTGTCTCAGTACATCCCTCTCGGGTGGGGCTGTGGGCAGCAGGCTGAGGCAGTTGCTACTATCTACCCAGTACCCAGGCTCAGATGGAGACCCTCGGCTAGACTCCTACTTAGAAGTCGGATACCATCCATTTCCTGGGACCACACTGCAATTGTGCCAGACACCCTGAGGTGAGCCTACTGGTCACGCAACCTCGTCCGCCAAGTCAGAATGGCTTCCAGTCACCATCCGGGCCTGAAGCCAGACCATATGCAGATACTTTTTCCTGCTGCTCTTTCCCAGAAGTCTTGACCTAACAATGCCAACCGGCCCCTTCCTCACACACCAGGTTGGGGCTTCCTATGTCACCTGTCCACTCTATCAGTGAATACCACAGGTGTACAGAGGAAGATCAACACCAGCCAGGACAGCAGGTACCTCTGGGGTTCCCAAGTCCCTTACGTACTTCAGCTGAGATTTAAAGGCTTCCCCAGAAACAGACCCAGGACCTTGGTGCTACCCTTTTTCATAATGAGGGACCTGTGTCTGGGGGAATCTTTAATAACGACTGCTCCGTCGTGGACAGACCAGCCCGTGTCATGACAGTCTAAACTACTCGGAGATCCTCAGTTTGCCATCTCAGGCCTTGCAGTTCAGAAAGCATCAGGACTCCTTTCTCTACTCGTGCTTAGGAAAAGGACTCCATGAAAGCCTTACTGCAGAGAGCACAGTGGGGTCTCCTCTCTCCAGCTCCACTGCCCCACCAGCTCATAAAAACTGTTATATGGCCAAATTCATAACATATTGGTTACTTAACTATCGATACAATAGAAGTTGCAACACTGGGGTCATCTTCTGGATAGGCTTCCCAGAAAATTCACAAATACTTTCTGATGAGGCTACCCTCTGCCTGGTGGCGGGAGTTACTCATTTCCTGTGAGCCCAGCATTCTTGACAAGCCATTATCCTGTGGCTCACCACACTGCCCAGCCTGCTTACTACATGGGGGCAGAGACCCACAACAAAGTTGCAAGACTGCTTCTCTGGGATAATGCCCTGTTGACTCCTGTGATCCACATGGCCTCCAGAGAACCCCAGCCTCCAAGCCCCGTCTACCTGCTTCTAACCACATCCTGCGCCCCTTCCTCGGGAGCCAGGGTCAGGACTGCAATGCCACCATCTCCCTGGCTCATCAGAGTCAGGATTTTCTAAATACAACTAAACCACACTTCTTTTGAAAAGGAAATAATCACTGAACACAGACATAAAACCTATGATCTGATTGCTGTTATGAAGTTTTTCATTGACCCGAATCCAGATTGTATGTTTCACAAGAACATTCTAAACATTAGCAGCAGCTACCTTGACCTAGGGTCAGAGAAGGAGGTTTCCCTCCAGGTTCTGCGGTATTTCCTAAAAAAAAAAAAAAAAAAAAAAGGAAAGAAAACTAACTAACTAAAAATATCAGAAAAGGTTAGGAAGCTTCCCAAAACATATTCGGACAATAATAAAGTCTTAGAAGATTGTCAGTGAATTCATTTCCTACACCTCTCTGTATTTCCAAGCAAATTTTAAGCTCTTAACTGTGAGTAAGAAGATGGTCCCTGGTTTAGCAATTTGAACAGAAAAGGAAAATCATGCAGAGACAAGTTTCCTGTGTGCCCCAGCCCAGGGGATCCTTTATCCTAGGTACCTGCCTTAGGGCCCAGGGAGCCACGGCAGTGGACAGTGGTCTCTATACATGCAACCCTCCTCTGTGGCTTTCTTTTGCCACCTCCTGAGAATCTACCCATGAGGATCAGAGACGGAGGGTGGCAACAGCCCTGGGAAGGGAGATGACGGGGACAATATCCCAGCTACAGGCTGGGTGGTCTGAGCCTGCTCCTCAGGGCTCCCTCGGAGTCCAGGGAGCCTGCTGCAGACAGCTCAGCAGAGCACCAGCACTGTCCTTCCTCCTCACTGTCCGGCTCCCAAACTGACTGGCTGAACTCCCACCTCATCTCAGGACCTGCTCCAGGGCAACAGCTGCTCACACTGGCTGGTCCTGTGACCCTGCCGGTACCAGGACAAGTACTGACACCCAGTGCAGAGCCACCAGAGACTGTCCATTTCATTCTAGGGCAAAAAGCAGAGGAACAAACCAGAGTCAATGGAAATTTTTAAAAATTTGAGGCTAGATAGAGACGGGAAACAGTAGCACCTATGAAAGATTCCAGAATACAACAATGACAGCACTAAGGACGGCTGTTGAGTATGGAAGGTGGTCACTGTGCACAGGTCTAGGGGCTCTGTTTAATGCTGGCAGCCTTCTCTTGATTAGGGAGATGCACCCCTACTTCTCCAAATGGCACAGAATATACCTCAAATTTTTCCATATGTGGCTCTTAATCAACACTGTCTGGATCTTTCAAATGCACAAGGTTTAAACTGGCATGATTTCAATAGCCTAGTCTCACCAGAGGTGGGACTGCCATTCCCACATTAAAGGATGAAAGGATGTGAGCCTATGGCTGTCAGTGGCCTCTTGCTACAAAGACAAAAGAGCCTATAAGATGACCCCAACAGACAGGAAGCCTTGGATCAGGCCATGCCTGAAACCCAGCTCTAACCCTGGGCTCCTCATGTGGACAAACCACTAAATCCAGTGGCTGATGACTGTCACTCATCATGCCATGACGACCTCACAATTACCCTATGAGGTAGTATCCTTATTTCAGATGAGGAAATTCTGTGCTGAAAGATTAAAAAATTTTGGCCAAGATCTGACATTAGTAAGTGGACAGAATTTAATATATCTTGGACCAATATAGTGGAAAGATATTAAAGGAACTAAGTAAATTTTTACCTAGAATAACAGGAAAATACCTAAAGCACATGCACTAAAGAAGTGGGACTGAGGATGGGAAAATTCTTCTAATTTCTCAGTATGTTTTTAAAAAAAAAAAGTTAAAAAAGAAATTATCATACAAGGTAATAGGCTGCATCATCACCCCCTTCCATCCTCTCCCTTTACCCTAACCCAGGTGACATGCCACTCAGGGCCAGCATCCTCACTCTCCCAGAAGCCCCTCTCCACCTAAGGACATCTTTGCCAACATGAACTTGACTTGGCTCTGCTCTAGCTGAAACCTCAGAAGAAAGGACAAAGGCTTAAGTACCCACAAGACTGTCCCCGGCCATGGCCTCACCCATCGTTCCCACTCCAACTCTCACCTCCCATCCTGCCCCAGCACCTCCCTTCCACTCACTCCTCCATCCTTCTCTCTTCACATGTGCCAGTCACAGTCCAAGCTACTTCCAGAAAGGACCATTTTGGGGCCAGAGTTCATGTAGCTCGACGGTAGAGTGAATATCTAGCATGCTTGAGGCCCTGGGTTCCGTCCCTAGCACTGGAAAGACGGAGAGGCAAGACGGCAGGCGGGCAGGCAGTGTGGCTCATCTTCTCTCACCTTGAGACATTCACTCCTGGGGCATTCCCTCCTTAACACATACCTCAATCTCCCTGACCCCACAGTTCTTCTACTTGACTCACTTGGATTAAACACCATTCCTTCCTCCAGAAATATGCCTCTAAATGACGATGCCCTCCGCCCCCCTAGGCTATACTGGGCTGCTAAATGTCTTTACCAACAGATCCCAAGTTCCACAAGACCAAGGTCTGCTGTGCCCAGTGAGATGGAGACATCTGATACATAGCAAGTGGACAGATGGATAAATAGGAGAAAAAAAAAACCTCAGGCTGAGACAAAATTATGTCAACTAACCTTTACTATAAAAATATTTTTAGTGAATTATGGTTAGCCACAAAATCACTAGGTTATTTATAAAGACACAACATGTAGAGAATATCATCTCTTTCATAATCATTTACATTCTCAGTAAAAACAGCGCCATGATCTCTACAACTGACCGTCAAATAACTCAGCACACACGTGGGCATGTTACCAAATGGCAGTTACTAAATACTGAACTGCTAAATATGAGGAGAGAATCTCTTATATGGGAGATTACGGTATTGTCTTTTCCATTTTTCTGTGTTTGAAATTTTTCATCAAAAATGTTTTTTTATCCCCAACTTTAACAGTTCCAGATTTTGAGGTTAGTCCCAGGAAGTGCAGTCTATCATCAGCCCACTTATTAGTTCCTATCTCCCCCTCCCTACCTGACCCCAACCACACACATCAAAGAAAGAAAATGATTTTTATGAGAAAATTCAACCCATATGGTTTTGACTTGTTTTGCATAAGCTGAAAAGCTCTGGAAATAGAAATATATAATGTCAGTTCCATTTTTTTAAAACATAAGTTTCCCTATTCAGATTTTAAATAGCGCCTACAAGAGGAACTGATTTAGCTAAAGCAGTACATAAATTTGTGGTCAATGATGAACTGCATGTGTTTCCACAAAATACCTCTCATGAATAACTGAGTGCCGTAATATGATTTAAAGATACACTTTTTCTTTAATAATAAAAAATTCTTGACATATTATATAATATTTAATAATAGCCATATTAATCAGCCATTGCCAAGAGATATTTATAGTCATATTCTCTCATTTAACATTTCCCTTCCCCCACCAACCTACAGTATCCCTAGTAAACACGAGTCTAACCTTAGAAAACAGAACTAGGTCTGAATACACAGGATCGTTAAAACCTAAGTGAAAAGAAGCACAAAGAACTGCTTTAACAGCATTAAAGGACTATTTTAATAGCTCCTGGTAAAAGCAGGGACTCCTTTAGGATGTGTCTTATATAAGAACACTTAACTCAAAACGACTTCAACAATCAAGAGAACAAAGCTCTGGCATTACAGGAACCAGAGGAGGAGAGCTATGTTGGCAGCAGACCCCACCCACCTCTCAGGTCCATTGTTCTTAGCAGGTGACTGCCTAAAGCCAAAAGGTATCCAGCCCCCCAGCTCCCTCCACACAAAGGAATGGAAAAGAATAGACTTTCTTCTCCTATTGCCACACAAGCTATATAATCTGTCCCCAAAGCCCACAGCAAACTACCTCTCATTTCTTGGCTATGATCAAGTCTGTCAAAAACTAGAGAGATGCTGAATTACCTTGGTGGCCTCGACTCATCTCTTGGGGTAGAGTTAACCCTGGGGAGTCACACACCTGGATCAGTAGGCAATCTTAACATCAGTGGTTCCAGGGTCTGCGGGAAGCATGTTGTTAAATGCTGACAACTAAGTACATAAGACAATCCGAGAATAATGCTACATCAAAAGGAAAAGGTAGAAGAAGGAAAGGGGAGGGAGGGACACAGACAAGTAGATGAATGAATGGATGGATGCACAACGTAGGTAAAATTCTCGTTTTTTAAAGTCTAAAAAAGGAGAGACAGGGTGAACTCTGTAAGTCTGACCTTCAACCCAAAGAAACTGCCAAGGATAGCCTGGTATCTGGATTCCCTCAATCTCGGGTATGGCTGCTAGGTCAGCTGGGCTGGCCCACTATCCCAGCCCTCCCTCCTGGCCCCACTCTGCTACACTCAACTCCTATTGTCTTGGTTCCATTAATTTTATGTTCACAACTTTAAAGTTCTGACTCCAGTTTGAGTAATTCCTTGTTCTACTAAACATCCTTTACACCATATCATATTGTGCCATATTTTCAAGTTACTTGGTTAAATCATTCTCATTTATTGGGGGTCTCCAACTAGCCAAAGCTGAAGTGCAATCATTGTCTTTGGCTGGCTGTATCTCTTAGGTTCTCCTCATTAAGGTTGTAAATGCAGTGGCTCTATTCAGGGGGAGATCCCAGGATGTACCAGAAAAGCACACAGAATAAGGAGGAGACAGGAGCCAATAAAAGGTGTGCCGCTGAAGGTGCCACCGAGGTCAGCCTCAATCCCCTGGGGACTCTGGAAGACGATGCAGAGCACACATCAGTGTGGCCCCACATGAGAGGTGAGGGAGTCGGGGCCTTTATCACCCTCTGCTATCAGCTGACCGCTGAGGGCAACTGAGAGCAAGGAAAGGGCAGGTGGGTGGCTCCCCTCAAGTACTGGAGCCCAGAGAGCCCAGGCTCCCACTAGCAAGACCCAGGGAGAGATGCACAGGATGGTGACTGCTGAAGCAATAAATCTGTCCTCTGGAGGACTAAGGACGGAGGAGATGTCTAGGCTCCTCAGAGCCAGAGCAGTAAGAGCCCAGCCACACCATCCCTTTTTCTTTCCTTCTGAAGCGGCTGTTCTCCCACAAAGGCAGTGCGGGCAGTTGGTCTCACTTGGGTATGCCCGGCCACCCTCACACTGCAACACTACGACCAAGATTCAGGTCTGGGACTCTAAGTGCCTGAAAAAGTGCTGAGGGTAGGGGCTGCACAGGTATAGGTGTTCTTCAACCTGGGAGGACCCTGTCCAGATCCAGCACTGGGGCTTTGGGCTGAAGCTCCCACTAACCAGAGTCCTTCACAGTCGTGTGGTGTGTGTGTGCGCGCGTACTCTTAATATCACCCAAAATGGCAACCTAATTGGTTTGTCCCAAATACAGAGATTTATCATCAACAAAAAGTTGAAAATAAGGTCAAAGAGAAAGGAATTTAAGAGGAGCAGCAATGCACATCACAGCACAGAACACTGGCCATGCTGGCTACACTTTCTAGGTGCACACAAATAACCACATGGAGCCCACGAAGTGTGTTTCTAAATATGACAGCTATTTCTACCTGGGGGTGTCTGTCACCTTCCCTCTGGAAAGGGAGGACCACACCAATCATCAGCTGAGCTACACTGAAGGCCTGGCAGTGTGCTACATGCTGGGATAGTTACCTAGAACCTCTTTGCAAGGAACAAACACATGGCAGGAATGGACGACCTCTGGTAAGCAGTGTCATGTTTCAGAGGGGTCCCCCAGGGCTTCCCACTGGTGACCTGTCGGCCTTCCCCAGGGATTTTAACATGCTGTCCCTAGCCTACACTAGTAGTAGATGGCTCCTGTACCACAGGTAGAGCCATCTTCCTGGTGGCAGAGAGGTAATTCCCTTCCAAAAGATCCAAGCACTTCTGAACTCAGTCAAGTTGGCTCAAATGCCCACTCCTGAACCAGGAGCCATGGAATGTACTCTGTTAACAGGCTGCTCTTAGCATGGACAGAATAGGGCTGAGGGTGCAGCCAGCATCCTGGAGAGGCTCCCAAGGAGTACAACCAGAATTATTAAATAAAAATAGAAAATAAAATTCTGAAAATTAAGTACTGCCATGCCAAGAATGTTTTAGAGTATTTATATATGAGTGGTTGTGTATGTGTTTACACACACACACACACACACACACACACACAGGCCTATGAAGTATATGCATGTGTGTATAAATAAGAATGTAGTGCTACATACATGTGTACACATAAAAGTATATATAAAACCTAATTAAAGAGATATGATCCAAAAAACAGAAAGAGAAAAAGACATACACGAAAAGATAAAGAACACTGAGCACTATGCACTTAAAAACTTAAAAAAAAATGTAATGCCGGGCGTGATAGTACACACCTGTCATCCCAGCAAGTCAGGAAGCTAAGGCAAGAGCATCCAAAGTTTGAGGCCAGCCTCAGCAACTTAGCAAGACTCTGTCTCAAAATAAAAAATAAACAAGTCTGGGGATGCAGGTCAGTGGCAAGGTGCCCCTGGGTTCAATCCCCAGTACCAAAGAAGAAAATACACATCAGTGATCTAGGCAACGAAGTCCCGTGGGAGTCCAAGCACAGAAGTCCCAGGTAAAACAGTCACAGGTAAGGCCTCAGAGAGAAGCAGAGTGAGGCAGAGCAAGGAGAATTAAGAAAAACGACAGTGATGCTTCACAGAAACGGAGACACTCAGTGTGGCTCCCTCGTGCACTTTGAAATTTAATGCTAAGTGCATGAGTAACAGGGGAATTTGAAACAGTATCCTGGAATCACATTGAGAACACAAGCAAATTAAATATCCATTGCCTAAAATTTACCAAAGCAAAAAAAAGAGCGTTATTTAAAACACATCAGATCATCAGCAAAACTAGGCAACTTCCAAGCAAATATTTTGTTCAAAGATATCAGAATATTCTAGTTTTTCCTTGATTTTCTGAAATTCAAATTATCAAACATATACATTCCATGCTACAGAACTTCAAAATTCTATCCATGCTTTAAGCCAATGGTCAGTCAACAACAGTCCACGGTGTGTTCTGCAAATAGTTTTACAGGAAGACATTCAGGTCAATTTATTATTATTGCCATCCTGTCTTACACAGCACCTCTTTGTAGTGACCTACTTTTTGTCTATGACTGCTTTAAGACTTGAGTGGCAGGGCTGTGACAAGTCTATGGCTCACAAAGTCCACATCTGTTACTATTTCACTCTTTCAGTAGGTGTGCCTCCCTCTAAGTAATCATTTTGTTTTGAAAATTCAAGTCCTGAAATTTTGCATGATAAAATGCTGGGAAAACTCACCTTTTGTTCTGAATGCCTGGGACTTTGGCAACATGTTCACAATGAAAATGAATTAAATAAAAGAAGAAGAAATGATAGGCAGGGGTTGTGGCTCAGTGGTAAACCACTTGTCTAGCATGTGGGTTTGATCCTCAGCATCACATAAAAATAAATAAAGGTCCATCAACAACTAATATATATATGTATACACACACACATATATATATTTTTTTTAAGAGAGAAAGAAATGATAATGAAAGAATACTCACAGTCTTTCAAGGAGACTTAATCCGGAAAACGAGCCATTCTTCAGCTCAGATATTTTATTGTTGCTCAGAATCCTAAAAAATGACAAGAAAAATATAAGTTGTTTAGGATACACCATCAGTATCAAAGTAATTCCACCTGTTCAGTTTAAACTTACGAGGGAATTCTCAGAAATCATCTACTACACCCAGATGAACAAGAATAAGGGGGCTTCTGTGCCAAAATAACTCATTCATACATCTCATCACAGCTTAAGTCATTCCTGTCACACGTAACCAAAACCTGAAAATGAAAAGGGAGAAAAATCAACACCCAAGTAGCTCTAAGCTCGATATTAGGAGAGAAGATGGCATGTGCACTAACGCAGTCAATCCATACATGAAAGGTGCACATTTGTTTTAAAATTGGAAACTTGGCAGAAAAATGTACGCACAACATGTTATCAACAAAATATTGACCTTACAAAGAAATAAAGTACTTTCTGGATTTCATTTCTTTAATGCTGAATATTGTTTCTATTTCAACAACAAATGTGCTGTGCGTGATCCTGCTTTCCATCAGTGCTCAGCCACTCCCCCTGCAGGGCTGTCCTGAGAGAGACTAGGTGGACACCACCACCTCGCTTCCTCTCGGGGCTCTGGAACTTTATGCAACTTTTGCAGCCTGAGCATCAACACAGAGTGCTTGTGAAGAAGGTGAAAATGCGGAAGCTACCAGATTTGGGACAGTGGGGACATCAAGGTAAGGATAATGAATGAAAAAATCAAGTTGAGAGTCCAGATTCCATTAGCAGATGGCAGAGTCGCACTCTGAGCCCGTGCAATTTCTACTCCAAATCCCACGGTCTTCGACATGCGCCAGGGATGGTCAAGACACCACAGGCACTGGGGCAGAAATTCTTCATCACACTGGTGTCTCCTAACTCTCAGGAGTAGCCTCACAGCACTACGACACAACAGCCACGTGTGCACACAAAGGCACATGAGACTTCAGGTATTTGTTTTATTTTGTCTAAAAAATAGAGTTGGATTTTTTTTCATTTCGATTTTTTTTTCCTACTGAAACAAACAAAAGTGGCCAGGTGACATTTAATTTTTATTTAATAAAAACAGGATTAAAAAAAAAATCCCTGCCATGAGATTGCTATCCAGAGCTTTCTTGTGGGGTGACTAGGAATTCCTCAAATGAACCCTACCTGTCATTCAAGTTATGTTGATCCCAGGGAACCCATGCCAGCTCTCTAAGAGTTCCCTCTTTCATAAAATGGGAAGAACAGAATCTGCCTCACAAACCCCAGAAAGTGGGTCAGAAGAAAACAGTACAACCCCAATGAGTAAGCTTCATATCTGGGCGCCTTGGTTTTAAGATACATCATTCCTCATTCCAGGGCTCATGGAGTCAAGGTGCATCTTGCAATCAAAGTATATTACTATGCGGTATTGTATCCCTCCCCAAAGCGGCTACTGAAGCAAGGATAAGGCTTCAAAAGCATTCCAACCAAAATACAGCAGGGGAGGAGGGCTGGGGAAGTATAATCAGCAGGTACCAAGTTACAGTTAAGACACAGCAAGAAGCTCTGGGGTACTGTTGCACAGTGTGGTGACTGCAGATAACAATTATGTACTGTATATTCCAAAAAGCCAGAAGAAAGGAATTTGAAAGTTTTTACTCAACAGAACTGATAAATGTTTACAGAGAAATTTTTTTAACCACATTTAAACACTATGCAACATACACATGTACTGAACAACAAATGGTACCCCATTAAATTCATACAACTTTTATGTCTTTGTGTATCTGTTAAAAAAAAATGTCTTAAATACAACAGCATTTTCTTTAATAGAAATGTCAAAGGTTTTTTTGTTTTATGGGGTTTTTTTCAAAAGAAAGGTTGGCCTGGGAAAAGCAAACTGAGACGCACAGCCACAATAGTCACTTGAGGAACAGGGTCTCTCAGCAGCCTGGAAGAGCATACCAAGTACCTCCACCTGTCTTCCTGGACAGGACTGACCCCAAGCTAACAGTCACCAAATGTGACAAAAGGTATATACAACTCCTTTTGGACAAACACTACCGTCTACCAAGGAGGTCAGGGACCAGAGAAAGAATTAAATTAATTATGATATAATTAAACGACAAAATTTTATGCATCCATAAAAATTAGTCTTTCAAAAAAGAAAATTTGGAGAAGAAAATTAAATTGATACCACTGATTGAAAAGAATGTATGCACACACACAATCAGTCACACACACACACACACACACCAGGAAGAAAATACATCAAAATGATCACTATCCTAGTGATGAGGTTTTCATTCACTTCCCCTTTATTCTTTACAATCTGGCAGTAACTTTTGAAATATCTAGAATGAGACTCTTATTTTCAAAATAATTTTCTCTTGATGATAAACATAAGAACCTTAATAACTAAGCACAGCTTGAAACTGAGCCAATTCTGAGTATATCTTAGAAATAAAATCTGAAACAACTACTTTACATTTTGAGATTGAAGAGTCACACTTACTAATTTATCCTTTAAAGAGTTCACATAGCGACTGACGCTGGCAACATAACAGGCACCAAGGGCGGTGCAGAAGACAGTGGCGCCTTTGAAGGCGGGGTTCTAACAGAGACCCCACTAGGACAAACCACTCCATCTGTGATAGTCACTCCACTCTTGTAGGAGGACTCCACCCTTAAGACAGAAATATATTAGACTAGAATGATTACCTAGAGCCCCAGCACCTTTTAACTTTCTATGATCATTCACGTTTTAACAAGCAAAGCAGCTGAGCTTCACTGGGACTGGGGATTTATACCCAATAACCAAAAACAAAGAAACAAAAAGAAAAGCACACAACTCCCCAGTTCGGTGACATCAGCATCCCATTTCTGGGTGAAGAATGGGACTCCAATATGGAAGTAGCTTGTAAAACAACTGTCAGGGTGGTTGGTGGTGACTGGACTGCATGTGCTGCGACTCAGTACTGCTTCCACAAAGGGACTGTCATGTGCTCAGCCATAAAGGCTGCAGTACAATAAATGATAGGTTTTATCGAGGAGAGTAAAAAGGAAGACATTTCATCACACTTAAAAAGTTATAACTGTAACCTCAAAAATATAGTTTACGACCTCAAGTTAATCTATTTAGTCTACACATTACCGAATGTGTTTAAGGATTTTGTGCAGGAAAACAGGATCTGTATGAATAAATCTACTCTGCAGACAGCTTTTATACTCAATTTTGAAACGAGGGACTGTGGAACTAGCAAAGGCATAATACCACATATCATTATCAACCTAAAACCCATTCATAATCAATATTTTTGCTGACATCTCTGAAACTTCAAACTTTCTAGGAGGTAACTAAATGAAAAATATAAAATTGACCAAAGTTATAAAGCTTGTCTAAACCACTTCTGTTCTACACTGACGACGACGATGTTAACGCCACATGATCTATACACAGTGAGCAGAGATGCTGTTCAGGCTCCACCTCTCGAACTCGGAGACCAGAGGGGAAGTCTGTCGTCCACTGCTACCATCTAACAGAGCATCAGGTTAGTACCATACATCACGTACACCGACTAGAAAGTGAAAAAAGGAGTAAGATTAGATGCAAATCTTTAAAAAAAAAAAACAAAAACATAATTTTATGGGACAAAAAAATAAAAATGAGATCTTAGGTATTCTTAGTTGCTTGCTATTCCAAGCCCCGGGATGGAATGAAACCTGGAAGGCTGTTACCAGAACCCACACTCTCCGTATGGTAGAAGTCACAAAACAACTTTTCCTTTTGAGGGGAATTTGAGATTAAATTTCAACAGCGTTAACCATTCGAATCAACATTAGGATTATAACTTGTGACACCGACTGCTAAAGGGAAAAACCAGACAAGTAATCACATAGGCTTATGGTAGCAGGTTGAATGGTTCCAGTGGGATGGACAGAGGTGGCCACCTCCCCCTACAAAGCTGACCTTATTTAGAAAGAGGCTGCTTCTAAACATCTGCAGACAGAAGTAAAATCTAGAGATGAGATCATCCAGGATCACAACTGGCCCTAAACCCAACGTGACAAATATCCTAGACAAGCAGGAGAGAAGACACAGAAGAGAAGGCTACGTCAAGATCAAGTCCAAAATGGGGACTCATAAAAACTGGAAAACACAAGGCGGGCAGAATCCAAAGTCATATTAGCTAAGGCTCTTGCAGAACTAAGGAAAGGAGTAAATATGTCAATGTACAGCTGGGCGCAGTGATGAAGGCCTGTAATCCCAGTGACTTGGGAGGCTAAGACGGGAGAATCACAAATTCAAGACTAGCCTCGGCAACCAAGGAGGCCCTGTCTCAAAATAAAAAATAAAAAGGGGCTGAAGATGTGTCTCAGTGGTAAAGCATCCCTGGGTTCAATCATTAGTACCGAAAGAAGTACATTTTTAAAACTATTTGCTATTCTAAATCCATAAGAAATGTTAAAAGATAAATGATAAATATATATAACTCCCATCAACAGCAAAGAAATAATTTTCCAAACATATAAAGAACTTTAAAAGAAATCAATTTAAAAAAATCCAATAGAAAATCTGGCAATGACCCTGAACAGATAGTTCAATAAAAGTAAACTAGGCCAGGCACACGGGCCTATTGTCCCAGCAACTCAGCAGGCTAAAGCCAAGAGAATCACGTGAGCCCAAGAGTTCAAGGCCAGCTTGGACAACTAAGGGTGACCCTGTCTCCTTAAAAATAAGTGAATAAGTAAATACCAAGAGATCACAATCATATGAAGAAATATAGTTCCTCAATCATGATGGAATACAAATAAAAATTAAAATAAGATGCCATAAACTGCTCATCAGAGGAAGAAAAAATGTGATCACATTTTATATTCCAAGACAAAACAGACACTGATATTTTGCTATGAATCAACACAATCACAAAGGAAGGTAAAAGTACCAATGCATATGATATTTGCTTTACTAATTCCTCTTCTATTAATTTATCCTAAACACCCACCTGCACTTGGGTAAAATATATTAACATGTTACTTATTTTATAATTACATATATTCATA